CTCAAGATATATATTTGTGTAGCATAGTGTTAACACGCTATTAATTAGATAAATTAAAACAAACAGTACTTTTAGGAGTCCAAAGTTAGTTAAATATTGATTTATCATAACAACATATTCTAATGTACTTTTTTTCTTAATGAAAAATAATTCCTCCAGTAAATGTTTTCCTTATTCTTCTTTCATTTTATTGTATGTTGCTATGATGTTTTATGTAAACAGAACAAGAAACAGAGAGCTTGTAAAATCATGTAGACTCTATTGTAATTATAATAATATAAACTACGTTGTTTCAAAAAAAGAGAATTGTATATGAATAAAACAATTTTGACAACAAAAAGTTAAGTTATTCTCAATAGAAAACAGAATCTCCATGATTATATTAGAAAAACTAAGTTGGTGACACGTCTTTTCTTTCTTCTAATATTTTGTCGAAGAAAAATAGGAGAAATCTTCTTTCAAAGTTTGAGTGTAACATATACAACTCTAAGATAAATGATTATTTCTGATAAACAAACATCTTTTTTTTTCTTCAGATTCTAATAACAATACATTATCTGCTAAAGAATCTTGTAGGTGTGAATTTATATTCATCTTTTCTTTATCGGCAGCTACATCCACCTCTTCTGTTTTCTCAGTAGTTTCATAATAATATAATTAAAAGAATTTATAACTGATAGAAGATATTATAGAAGTCATGCTGAAATCAATAAAAGAACTTATATGAAAACAAAGAAAAATTTATTTGAAACTGCAAATAGATTTTTCGATAAGACAAATTGAGATATCAGAAATAAAATAGATAATATTAATAACATTTTTAAAATTTAAAAATTTGATATATTTATTCAATGCAATCAATCATTCTTTTATTTAAGAATTGTTTATTTTTTATTTCGATCTGATATTTTTAGCCAAAATTATCTATAAAAGAATTTAGTTGATTGATCAAATTAATTTCTATTAAAACTAACAAATAAAAAAATATTAATTCAATATATCTTCAGCATCTTTTTAGATATTTTCTAATTTCTATAATACACCAATATTTAAGAATACACATATATATGTAATACTTGAAACTTGAATACAAGCATTTAACTATTCAGGATATGGATTGTGGGTGGATCTTACTAAAGTTTGGGTGAATAGTTGAATTTAACTTTCGAATTTGGCACTACTGATAAATTAAATATATTTTAATTGAACTTCTTTTAATCATTACGATAAAGTTTTATCATATAGATTAAGTAATATATTTATATTTAACAAATGACAAGTATTCGTTAATATTTTTGTAGTTTTCTTTTAAAAGGTATAAAAAATATTTATTCTTTATTCAATAGATTTATAATTGATAGAAATTATCAATGCGTTGTTAAATCATTTGTTGATAATGTAAAAACATTTTTATTTCGTTTGATTTCTGATCGAATTAATTTAAAAATGTTATAGATAAAGAATAATTATCTCTTATTATTTAATAAATAATTTATTTATTAGTTTTTTAATATTTCAAATGAAACAATTTCTTCTTTATATCAAAAGAAGAACATAAATATATGTTTATTATTTAAATTCGTTTAAAAGAAGGAAGAAAAATTTTCAGCCACTTTTATTGAGAAACTATAATTATCGTTGATATCATTATTTGCTCCAAATAATAACGAATTATACTTGATTAATATTAGAGCACTCACACCCTCAAGATAATTTTTCACTTTACTAGCTTAAGAATTTCAATCAATTTATCTAGAAAAAGAACATTTCAAGCGATCAAAATAGTTAGGATGAACTCTTTCCTTTTTCCTTATTTCATTACACTTACGACATATGTTGCACAAACATGAAATTACTCAATAACATGAGTCATATATGAAATTTCATGACTCATTATGAATGTCAGTGAGGATTGGCTTGCGTACTATATAAATCAACAAAAGAGAGAACAAAATGATTACATATATTTCAAAACTTATTCAAGATGTTTCCTGTACATACACCTCCTACTAGTGAATGGTTATGTTCACATGGTATTCTTTCATGGAAGTTTCCACCATCTCTTGGTTCTTATACATTAATTGGTCGTTCAAGAGCAGCTGATGCTACTAGTTTATACATTCCTGAATTAGATATATTACTTGACTGTGGTTGTTTAGTAACAACTGCACATCCTTCTAGTATATTTCTTACACATACACATTCTGATCATTGCCTTGATATTACTCGATTAGTGAGTCGAAGCCGACCACCACAAATCTATCTTCCTATTTCAGCAGTTCAATCTATGAAAGATTATATTGAAAAATGTCAGATTCTTCGATCAGCTGGTGCAATTGATCCTGATCCAAATCAATGGACAACGAATCATCAATTGATTGGTGTTCAACCTGATGAATTATTATCATTTCGAAAAACAATGAAAATTCGTATATTTGATATGGATCATTCCGTTCCTTGTTGTGGTTATGGTTTTTATGAATGTCGACAAAAATTAAAAAAAAAATATGAACATTTAACAAGTAAAGATATTGCAAATATGAGACGAGAAAATAAAAATTTAGAATTAACAGACGAAAGGTTAGCTCCATTATTTGCTTTTATGGGTGATACAACCGCAACAATATTTGAAAAATATTCTAATGAATTATTTCAATTTCGTTTAATTATTATCGAATGTTCATTTATTGATTCTGAAAAACATGGAGAACGAGCATCTGATGTCAAACATGTTATTTGGGTAAGATAAATTATAACTATGAGCCACTCCATGTAAGCCACGATCTAACCTACTCAATCGAGATCATCTGATTTTATTCCTTTTAATATATGTTGTAGAGAGACGAATCCTGAGTTTTTTGGCACAAGTCATTTCAAAAAACATTCAGTCTTCACTATTTTATAAACATTTTACGAAATGCCCTATAGATGACAAAACTGATGAATGGAGGTCCAAATCGGATAATTGTTCAGCAACGAGTAGACAGATTGAAATGAAATTTTGTTCACATATATATCCTAATAAGACCTGCTTACCATAACATTTTTCTTCCATAATTCGAAACATTTAGGATTTTATGACTTGTAGCGGAGATCATCTTTCGAAAGTCTCTATAAGGTCCATATATCGTTTTTGCGTTACATTTTCGATTTTATTTTATTTAGTTCTATATATCAATGTCAATTATGAGATATTCTCAGTTTACTACTGTTGCATATTTATTTGATCTTTTCTTTTGATTCTTAGATGACAGTAAAATATTATTAAAGACGAAAGTAGCTTGGATATTTAATGAAAGAATATATTCAGGAATAATTTTATTAAATTTTACTAATTAAGGAGGAAAAACGTCATTTTGGAGGTTGGGTGTAAGTGACCGTAAGAAAAGAGCAATCACACTCACGCCCTCAAGATGGTTAGGTCGTGGTTCATATATAAAAGAAATTTTAAATTGAAAATTCTTTTTAATTTTTAGGATGATCTTTATCCTATTGTTCTACAACATCCAGAAATTACTTTTGTATTAATTCATTTTTCACAGCAATACAAAAGTGAACGAATAAGAGAGTTTTTTCAAAATTTAAATTTACCTAATGTTGTACCATTTATTTAATAAAAAAATAATTATGTTCAATATAAATAATAATAAATTTTATATGCATGTTAGACACAAATGTGCAACAATGTATGCTATAAATTTTGACTAAACGTTTCTAAAGTAAGAATCCATATTAATTAATTATATGTGAAATATTATTGCGTTTTATTTATTATTGTGTAATACAATATTTTCTCGTTCTTATCAGATAAATTCATGAAACAAGCAAACAGTGTTTTTCACTAATAATTGTATTCATATCGTCTCTTGCTAATCATCTCTTCATATTTATTAGGTTCTTTTTTTTAAACCACTTTTATTAATCAATCAAATTTCTTTTAAAATCATATTTATCTTTTTTCTTTTTAAATAAATGGACTATTATATGGTTCAGGCTTTTTTGCTTGATCAAAACCATGTAAACACATAGTAACAGCTATTTCAAAAAGATAATCATAACATTCACACATTGTTTTAGCTTTTTGCCATGTATCACCCCAAACATAAACACCATGTCTTCGAACAAGTATAGCACAAGTATCTGGATATTTTTCCATTGCACAACGTAATGAACTTGTTAAATCCCTTTCTTCACAAGTATTTTCAATAATTGGTACAACTAATGTATCATTATATCGATAATATTCTTTTTCAGTTGAACCTTTTTTAATACCTTTTATCATTTCTTGATGTGTTATACGAAATTCATGTTGTCCATCACATAATAATGTAACCATAACAGCTGCACGAGAATGTGTATGAATACAAGCACCGGCATTACGAAGTTCAAATGCTGCATAAAATAATGGTGTACATTGACTACGTGTAAGACGAAGTTCTTTAGGTGGTTCTTCAATCGTATCACCTTGAAGTGTTTGTACAAATAAATGTTCGGATTCAATACGTTCTTTTTGTACACCACTTGGAGCTAAATAAATTAAATCTTTATGCTTTAATGATATACCTCCACCAGTGCCTAAAATATATCAAAAAAAGCACACTTTCATTTTGTAACCATATTTTAGGGTTTATTTTTCAATAACCTGTAACCCATCCAAGTTGATAGAATAAACGACATAATTCTGGTATTAATTTTCTTGGATGTTCAACAGGTAATTTCGACCAATCCTCATCTTCTTCATGATTGGTTGATTCAGCTTTAGAAGCCATTATCTGAAAATAATATTGATAACGGACAGTTAAAGATTAAAAATTAATCGTTTTTCATAGTTTTGTCCTGAATTTCTGATTTTGCTCAATTTGTAAAAGAGTTTTCATTGAATTATATGAGAGATTTGCTTAAAAAAACTTCACATCATGTTATACTTCAACAATAAAAAGATATTGATAAATTTTTTAAAGAGTATTTCCTCCTATTATAATACTAGAGTTATCTAGAACATACACACATATCGTACAGTATTTCATAAGAAGATAATTGTTCTTGATGTCTCTTATTGAAAAATAATGCATAAACAGATTTGTTTAAGTCGATATTCATGACAATCAATAGATATTATCTCATGGAATAATTATAATTCAAATTTCAAAAATATAGTTTATAGAATGAATTTAAATACTCCTATATCGATTATTCGTATTGAAATCCATCAAACGAAAAAAAAATGAATTCTATTGGTTAAAGGTAGCCATTGACAAAATATTGAACCTCCTCAAAAAAAAATTTATGCAATATTTACTATTAAATAAAATGAATACAATCCTTCTTATAAATAATTTCTTTAAAAAGGAAAATTTTCTTGAAAAAATATTCGATTGGTTTATTTTACGACAGATCGAATAGATAATTCGACACAAAGAAAATTCAAAATAGACAATATTTCATCTTCCATTACTCTTCAAGTTAGATTATTGTTTACTGGGAATTTCTAATGGGTCGACATCGTTCACGTTCAGATTCTCGTTCACGTTCTCGTTCGATGTCTTCGAGTTCATCGTAAGTTAAAATTTTGAAATATTCGTTTAAAATACAATTTATTTAATATGAAGTGGACGTGGTGTACAATCATCTAATTGGGATGGTGAAGCAGGTTATCGTGTTCATATATCAGATTTAGCTGCTGGCATTTCACGTAAAGAAATCGAACGGGTATTTACTAAATATGGAATTATTAATGAGGTATTTCATTTCTTTATATATATATATATATATGTTTTCTAATAATCAAAAAAACTGAAATTTTTAGGTATGGGTAGCAACTAATCCACCTTGTTTTGCATTTGTTAATTTTAAACATCGATCTGATGCTGATAAAGCCATTCGAGAAGTTGATGGAAAGTAAGATGAATATTATTTTCTAAATTAATATATATGTGAATATATTTCAATTAGAATTATTGGTTCAACTCGTGTCGGTGTAAGTTGGGCACGTACACGTACATTTGGTGGTCGAAATCGTGGTGGTCGTGGTTATCCATATAGTTCATATCGAAGTAGTGGTAGTCGACGACGATCAAGGTAATGTTTGATTTTTTTGTTAATATTCTCCTAATCATTAATATTAATTGGTGATGGTTAAAAAGAAGTTACACTAATTATATTAATGTCCAATTATAGTTTTCGAATGGGCCTGATAAGTCGATTGGTTGTTTGCTTTTTTTCCTTTGGTAAAAAGAATTAAAGAATAAAATAGTGTCTTGGAATCTTCTTTGTACTCGAATCGTAATGAATGTTGATGGAATATTATGATTTTTGAATTAATTTTCAATTAAATAGAAGTCGTTCGAGAAGTAATTCACGTTATCGACGACGTCGATCAAGATCACGATCAAATTCACGAGGTAGTCTTATTTAAATCCATAGATTACATATATGTTTTAAGTTTAAATTTTAGATCGTTACCGTCGACGTAGTGTATCACCACGAGAACGTAAACGTTCACGACATTCAAGCGGTCGACGTGAATCAAAATCAGTTTCACGTTCTCGATCACGATCACGTTCATCACCACGACATAAATCTTCTGCTAATACAAACGGGTAAAATAAAAAATTTCCAATTCATTAAATATATATTCTTTCGTTTTCTCAGACGAAGTCGATCCCGTGGTTCAAGTGTTAGTGATCGTCATAATAATGGTGTAGCCGATTCTTCTTCAGCTACTGGCGTTGATGCAAATAATGCTTATAAGTATGTTAAAAAAATCTAAATCTATATTTCTAGTTTGATCATTTCTATACTAGCCGATCACCAATAGCCGCTGGTGGAGATTAATAATATTCGTTATAAAAATAAAACTAACATCTAGTTATATTAGATAGTCATGCTTACAAAATTTTGTCATTGTGTATCATTGTCTTGAACTTCTATTTGTGTGTGTTCTTCTTTTTTTGAACTAAAAATAAAAAAAGTATCATATGATGGGAATGATATTCTATTGTTTAGATTTGATATTGTCATTCGTCATTTTCTTTTTTAAACGCTTCGATTAAATCTATAGGATGACGTAGACTTCGTCAAAAATAAGAAAACAAAAGATGATTCATAATTATCATTGACGCAATAACTTATCGGTGTTTACAGGTCAATATGACCAAAACTTGACGTTATTTTATTCTTCAGTATAGACAAACTATTTCGTCATTTTATTTTTATTTCTATAGATTTACATCTTTTTAATTATTTTCATATTATATAAAAATATCTGTTCTTTTTTTAAACTTTCATCTAATAGATAATTACTGATATTATTTATATACAACATCACAAAATAACAGTTAATGACAAAAAAGAACACTTTTCAAGATAGATCATTTATTGTTTGTGTAGATGAATGTTTTGTTTGTCGTATTTTTTGTTTTCGTTGAAGTAATCGTCCCCAATTACGTTTATATCTCGAATCATTTTCTTGTTCTTGGAGAGATTGTGTCGATTGAAAATTCTTTTCATTGCCGACGTCTTTTTCTGTATTATTTGTATTCGATGGATAACGTTTTATTTTATATCCAACAAGATTCGGAGTATTTGATGGTTCACTAATACGTAGAGAAAGTTGACGATGAGGAGCAAGTGGTTTTTTATAAATTATTCGTTCTAAATTTTGATTTGATTGAGATCTTGGTCTCACATTTGTTGCATATTGTAAAACTTTGAAACATTCACTACCAATTTTAGCTAAATCAATAGCTCGATGATGTCGATAGTCAATTTTCTCTGTATCAGCATAACAATTTAAAAGTATTTCACATGTATTTATCATATTAAGTTTAGCTGCTGACATTAATGGAGTACGTTGAAGATTATTTTCTGCATTAACATCACAACCTGCTTCAATTAATTTTTTTAACAAGGATCTATGTTGATCATTTGCAACATTACTACAAAACCAATGTAATAAAGTATTATCACCATATGTTACAACTGTACGAATTGATGCTCCAGCATTCTCCAATAAATCAAACATTTCTTCATCACCATGAATTATTGTATAATGAATACTAAATAGAATAGAAATTAATCATAATTACAACTGAAATTTTAAAAAAATATATCTTACGGTCGATTCTCAGTTTCTTGTTCCATATAATTTATATTAGCTTTTCTATCAACAAATAATGTTGCTAATGAAAGATTTTTTGTTCTTACAGCAGTCATTAATGGTGTTTCTTTAATGACAATTTCTTTACCATTTTCATCGGTATATTTATATGATGATGGTTTATCAACATAAGCATCATGATCTAATAGAATAGTTGCCATTTCAAGTGCAAGTTTTGCGTCATGTACTTGGTCTTCATGATAAATATTTGATGCTAATAAACTCAGCGGTGTCTGATGAGTAACAAAATTTGGTTGATCTGGTTGTGCACCTTGTTTAAGTAATAATTGAACAGTTAATGGTGTTGCATATTTAATTGCTAATAAAAGAGCAGTATTACCGGCACCATCTAATGGTTTAGTGATATAATTACGTTCGATATCCAATATACGACAAATTCTATTTGTATCATTAGCTAATATAGCTGCACGAAAAGCAGATAAATTCGTTTTAAATAAATATGAAAGAAGTATTTTTGACATAGTATTAGTAACAGAAATATCTAAAAAGTATATATATATATATATGTGACTATTAAGAATACTATATGATAAAATGAATGTTGTGATAGAAAGGTAAATGGTCTAGTATTTTTTTTTACTTATACGTACGTCAATAACAATAAGAGAGTATAAAAAGCATTGAATGGTACTATTGAAAAAAAATCCTCGAATAGTCTCGGCTGAAAGCAAATTATATTCGCATAAAGGTAACAACATGTTTACTTAAATTAAAAATATATTTAATATTTCATATTATGCTTGTTAGCCTAAATAAGTTAGTATGAATATTATTTTTTCGCTTCATATGGTTATTTACCTTGACGTAGTCGTTATTAAGTGCCCTAGTCAAATATATTTGAATGAGTAGGATGCTATAAGGTCAGTTGATGATGATAGATAGCAATCAACATGAAAACAAAAAATGCATGATTATACAATTAATCATTCAAATATACGTATAGTTGAAACATTACCTGAATTTAGTACTATTGTTTTTTCTCTGTATATATCTGTCGTCTGAATAAGAAGTATCGATCAATTTTAATGATAAGCTCGATCGAAATATATTGCCCGTTTGATTGTTGGATGACATTAGACATATTCATTACAAATTATGAAAAAAAAAAATAACAAAATACGAAGATTCTATTGCGCAGAAAGATATTGCATTATGTACATATGTATGACGCATGTCGATTACTGTAATCCAAGCCTAATGTACTGATTTCTGTAGATTTTATTTCTAATAAAAAATTAAAAGAATCGGCAAACAACTAAAATCATGTAAGTAATCTCTGAAAAATAATCAAGAATATTTTATTGGCTAAATTGAATGCGTGATTGTACATCAATATAATAATGTAAAATAACTCTATTAAAACTTAAAAAGCATAATAACTCTATATATTTTATATTAATAGTTAATTATTTTTTAAATTGTATAAAGGTATTGAAAATAAACGCAATTTGTTATTTAAAACCAATTAAAATATATAAAAAGAAGACAATATGAATATAAGGAATTATTTATTGAATAGTTCTGAACACTGTTTACAACATGGCAATTTTGTATTTGATCAGGTAATTTATTTTAATAGATCGAATTTATTTAAAATAAAATTTTTTATATTATAGATTTTACAATATCTGAATAAACAAGGATCGGCTGCAGTGATTCTAATAAGAAAACATGACATAAAATATTAGTTCAATTTATTGTGATCCTTTGATGAGATCGAAACGACGGAATTTATTGTGATTCTATACATTAATACGAATTTATATTTACTTCACATTAAAATTAAAAATATTGATATAAAACATCACGCTATTGTTCGTCTTCTATTTATATTAAAATATTGAAAACAAAAACTAGATTGATTCGTAAATAAACATCGTAATATCAACTGTACTGTTATCCACGGATTGAACTTCGTGTAGGCGTGAATCACTGAAGACAAAATACATACTTTGAAGGATAAGATAGATAAACTATCTTTATTCAACTGAAGACTGGTTAAACTACTCACTTTAGGGATTTTCGATGAGAGCTTGTTCTTAAGTCATTACCTGTATAGTTTTTATAAAAACAATGGCGAAATCTTTGTAGCTAATTTTTTAAATATATATTGTCATTATAAAAGAAATCATTTTTGAAAAATAATATTATATTGTGAAAGACTTTGCAATTTTCTATTATCCTGTATATTTATGCTTTAGTTTCGATTTATGTATTACCAGAATTCACATCAGCACAGAATTATCTTTTTAAAAAAATTATTATACATTTTGAGAAGTGTTCAATGATAATAATATCGAATGAAGCAGAGACATATAATATATTCAATGGACAATGAATATCAGATAAATAAATTATATAAAATAAGAAATAGAAGAGAAAAAAAATATTTACTGAACGACGTTTAAATTGATATATCTTCATTAGAATTTCTAAGTGATCTGTATTGAGGGATGGACCATAGCAAATGACCATACTTTGCATTGTAATTTTTAATTATTGAATATGTCGTATTAGAAAAAAAAATATATCAAAAGATGCAACGTAAAAAGCTCTACAATTTACATAGGACATTATTATTTCTTCGCTCAATGACTAATAAAATAGATCCATAATAAGTAAGTACGTTCGAACCAATTAACATATGTTTGAATTGTAATATTTTTTCATTTATTTTAATGTGACTCATTGGAAGTACATAATAAAAAGTTACGGCTGTATAAATGCTTTCATTTAATCAAATGTATGATTAGGCAAGGACAAAATTTATACAAAAAAACAGATGAAATCAATTTGAAAATGTCTTCTGATAGACCTAAAATTGTACGAACAAACGATGGAATAAATATTAAATTACAAGATTTGACAACAAGAGAAACAATGTGGTGAATAATTAAAGATGATTTTTATTTTGTATGTTCATCATATCATAACTCAATCAAAATTGAATGATGACAGAACACTTAATAATGATAAATATGTCTCATTAGAAGATGAATTTGAACAGGAAGACATATAAATCACAAATGTGAATATCTAAAAAGAATTATAATATGATTAGATATGACTCGTGAGGAAACAATGTAAAAACCTATGATTCATTAATTGATAAAATAAAAAATAGACTTTGCCATGTACTTAAAAACGACCTTGTTCGTAGCGTTGTCGATTAGTCACACAGAATTTTGCTCATTTCAAGAACGTGAGGTACACATATGTCACAGTTGACATGAGAATTTAGTTAAGATTAGAATACGCGAAAAAAAATGAAAATTTTTTCTAAAAGAGAAAAGGCTAGTACGTAAAAGCAACTTCATGATCAACAAGATATCATGTAGTTTTGTAAGAGAATATAGAAATTTTTGTCAAATTTATTAGACGAAGAATTACTTTGAATTGAATTTGTTTAAATCGATTGTTATCCATATTCTGATGTGTTGGTACACACTTTTCATTAATTTAATACTATGATTTGAATCTGTAATATGTATACGTTTTTTTTAACCTTCTACTTTCTATGTACATCGTTCAAGAGATGGCTGATTTTCATTTATACATATTTTCCCTAAAATCTCTACCTATTACGCCTGAGCAGATGACATAAAATCTATATACCTTGAATAATAAAATATCCATTTAATTTGAAAGAAAAAAATTTTCTTTCTTACATTTCAAAAGCCAATGTCCCGTATATGGTGCTTATAAAACAATGTTCATAACCGACTACGACATATATAAAATGAGCTGTTATCTATAGATTGTAGTTACTTTTTACGCTGCATCTTTTAATATATTTTATTTTTTTCTATATTAAAAACTATAAAACAATTCAAAGCAGTTACTATTCTTTTTTTTTGAACAGATAAAATATATCACTATTATTTTCAAATTTTATAACAATATTTCTTTATTAAAGTTTTACATTATATATAATCACTAAAATAAACACAACGAGAAAACTGTAAATCTTACGATCTACATTCTTCTTGAAATCTCAATATACAATAAAAGAATTTGATAGTTAGTTATAGTAAAGTCTTTTTTAATATACATGGTTATGGTTTATTGTATGTTCATAATTATCTTTTGTTTTTTGTAAAGATAAATCTTTTGTTCGCATGATTGCGTGCTTTCGATTAAGTATTTTTTTCCACATACGTCTATATGTGCTATCATTATCTTGTTGTCGACAACGATGATTAGATGAATGATGTTTTTGATTTTCATTGGTTGTATTTGATGAGTCATTTTTTACTTTATTTTTATTATCATTAAAATATTGCTTTGATTCATTCGTAGGCGAGAAAAGTGAACGATGAGAAACAACATGTTTCGTACAAAGTATTCGATTTTTCTGTTGATGCGATGATGATTTCATTTGTTGAACATGTGTAGTATGTAATAATAAACGAAAACATTCACTTCCAAGTTCAGCTAAATCAATAGCTCGATTACCTTTATCATCAACTTTATCTACATCAGCAGAAGCATTTATAAGTGTTTCACATGTATTTATCATATTCAATTGTGCTGCTAACATTAGCGGCGTACGTTGAAGATTATTTTCTGCATTGACATCACAACTTATGTCAATTAATTTTTTTAATAATGATCCATGTTGATCATTTGCATCATTACTACAAAACCAATGTAATAACGTATTATCATCATTTATTACACCTGTACGACACGATGCTCCAGCATTCTCCAATAAGTCAAACATTTCTTCGTCACCATTGATTATTGAAAGGTGAATACTAAAAGAAAAAAATTTTTTTTTGGGGATAAAAGCTCAGAAAAAAAAAATCTTACGGTCGACTTCCAGTTTGTTTATCGATATAATTAATATTCGCTTTGCTGTCAAGAAGCAATGTTGCCATTGGAATATTTTTTGTTCTTACAGCAGTCATTAATGGTGTTTCATTAACCATGTACTCCTTATCATTTTCATCTAAGTAATAAAATGATGATGTTTTATCGACATCAGCATCATCATCTAATAGAATAGTTGCCATTTCAAGTGCAACGTTTGCTTCATGTTCTTGATCATCTTCATAGATAGTTGATGCTAATAAACTCAATGGTGTTTGATGAGTAACAAAATTAGGTTGATCCGGGTGTGCACCATGTTTAAGTAATAATTTAACAGTTGATGATGTTGTATATTTAATTGCTAATAGAAGTGCTGTATCACCAGCACTATCTAATTGCTTGTTAATACAATTTTGTTCGACATTTAAAATATGGCGAATTTTATTTGTATTATTGACTAATATAGCTGCGTGAAGAGCAGATAAATTTCTTTTAAATAGATGCGATAGTAGATTTGGCATAGTAATAATGTTATCTAAAAAGTTATTTTAAGTAATTATGAAGACTATTTGATAAAAAAATAAAAAAAAAATTATGTTGTAATAGAAAAGGTAGATGCGCTTATATTCATTACAATTTTGACATATATGAATAGAGAGAAAGAAAATAAAGATACATTCGACAATATTATAAAAAAAAATTTCTGTAGGTGTTCTCGAGGGTGTAAGGTAATTTATTTAAAAAAGTAATAACATGTTTATTCGAATTTAACATATAATTTAGTATGGATATTAGTCTAAACGAGTTCAGACGAATACGCTTTCTTTCTTATTGTTTGATATATATATTTACCCTGTTTGATCAATTATCGATGGACTCAGTCAAATATTTTCCGTATAATTAAGACGTCTAATAAGGTCAATTAATAGATTGTAATCAAACTAAAAACAAAAATGAAGAAATAAGCATAACATTATTCAAACGTAGTTTAGTCGTTAAAATCTGAAATTAATGTAGGATTTGTTTTTCTCTCTCTCTCGATATATATATATTTATTTCGGATGAGAGAACACCTATGACAACTATATTGTATTGTGAATGATCACTAGACAATAGGGGAGAAGAAACACTCGTGTTTCTACATAATATTTACATGCAAAATATGTCTGTTTTGTATTATTGTCTCTTATTGATGATATTAAACATATTTATATTAGTCAAGGGCGATAAGTAAACCAATTCTAAACTCATATCTTACGTATTCGAGTGTTTGAGTATTTCTTTTGTTTGCACTCAAGAAATATAAGTTAATTAAGATTTAACCAATTCTCCTTATCTTCAATAAATATTAACCCTTTACGACCGACGGTCCCTTCCAGAGGACATTACAAAAAGGAATTTAAAAAAATATAACGGCACCCAGTTCCAACAGCGGATAGTTTTTCAGATTAACGCAGTTTGATAGTCTATTGGCTAGCAAACCAAACCTTTTAAACTAATATCTAAAAAAAATAGTTAAATTTTTAAAACTCAGATTTTTTTACCGTTAACAATTTTTTTTGAAGATATAGTCTGTCGGTGGATACGATGCGCATCTTTCTGTTTGTCAGTGTTATCGATCAGAACTGTTACCGAGTATCTTATGAGACCAGGCTTTAAATTTTAACATGACTCGTTGGTGAGATATGGTGCTCAAAAAGATATGTCCTTTGGAAGGGACATTCGGTCGTAACGGCATGAAATACTGTATCAATGTAGAGGGTGTGGATGAGTGTGAGTGTGGCGTTTGTGTGTGTATGTGGGTGTGGGTGTATGTGAGAGTGTAGCTGTGAGTATGGCTGCTCTCTTTCGATCAACAAGGGACACCCATACCCGCATCACCACCGACATCCACACCCAAACCCCACACCCACGTACACAGCGCACCACACTCTAGTCATATCCTTACCCACACCTACTGTATAAAATCTAAGGTTCATTTATGTCTCAATTTAAGTCGAAACTGTTCTACAAAATTTCATGCTCAGAAATAGTTAAATATTGTATATTGAACTGATGAATATTTCTTTGCACAAAATGTATTTTCTTCTTTGTTATATAGAAAAAAAGTATTAAAATATGTATATGTTGAACAATATGTTATGATAAGAGTAAAATAAATAGAATTACTTATATAGACAGAATTTGTTTCGGTTAAAAAGAATTAATAAATTTATGCCGTTAAGGCCGAATGTCCCTTCCAAGGGACATAGCGTATCTCTTGAAAAAAAATAAACTGATTTTTTTCACCGGTAGTATGAGCATACGGAGGGCCCATAACCTCTATTCTTGTCATCAGCTTTTTCCTGTGATAAAAAAAAAGCCCCTCGGTCGTAAAGGGTTAAGATGATATACTTGTTTTTTTTTCAATGAATACATTTACTAGTATTAGTCCTTGAATATGAATCTTAAAAATAAATAATACTTGATGAAAAATAGTTTTAATAAAATAAGTACGTAGAAGATACACTCGTTTATTTTCTTCCAACTAATATATAATAGAAAATGAAATTGTCAATTGTGTCTACTGATTATAAAACTAGTCATAATAACTAATACATTAAAAATAACAAATATAATGTAGTTAGATAAAAAAAAATATAGACTATCACCTGTCAAGATTTGTTAATCATGTAAATATCTTCACAAGCAAATCAAATGTAAGCAATGATGTATACGTGATAGATAAAGAAATAAAAGTATATAAGACAAATATAATTTGTTTGAATCTCTAAAATGTAAAATATATGCATTTCAATTGTGATAAAATATTATATAAAATAAAAATAACTGATATTATTACTATATACGATTTTAAATGAAATACTTTCACTGAAAATATAAGTTTTAATTTTAATAATTGAATCATACACTCGATAGAATCAGTTTTGACCAATTTGTATACTGTGTTCATGAATATATCAAAGAATGTTACTTTTTATAATAAATCTGCTAGTTTGATAAATGTATGTATAATATAAAAGTTTACATATATTGAAATATGACTATAACTGATATCAATAATATTTCTTACATCGTATGTTTTACAAGCATGTTTACAATTTATTTCTCATTTTTTTCTATTTATGATTATGTAAAAATAAATATTGTTTTTGCGTATTTATTCATGTAATTAACCCCGTCGTTGAATGGGTAAAATGATTAAATGAAAATTAAATAAAATCAAATTGTATTTTTCCAACAAGGAATACTAGATAAATATATAAGTACTTTTTATTACAACGAAATGGAAAAGGTCAGTTCTATTGTAAGAGAATATTATTCAATAGTAGTACTACAAAATATCGTTCTTTAGTCATATATGATGAGATCAAGTATTGAAGTAATATTGAGTACAAAATATTTAACGAATAATTTATTATACAGTCATTATAAAGATTCGACGGTATTCTTTTATATTGTTGTATCTTAGGATTACAGTATAAAAATTATTTTCCGTATTCTCTACAGTTCGATATTTAGGTTTTTTAGGAAGACTTTTTTTTTGGGTGTCATTTAAGTGATCAGTAGAATAAATGAAACGGTCAGTAAAACAAAAGAATTCAAAAATCAGTAGAATTATCGAATGGTCAGTAATTAATTTGATAGGTCCATAATAAAATGGAATGTAAAGTAAAAAAATATAAATTAGTGCAAAGATGGTCTACTTTTCTTTTTTTTACTGACAAAAATCATATTTTTTCACTGCCACTTCCACAAAATCTACTGACTACTTTTGAATTGTTTACTGATTTTTTTTTGAAAAACCGACCGATTAATATATTCACTGATATTTCAATTATTTTACTGACCGCAAAACATATTCCCTTTTTTTAATCTGTTTATCCAAATGCAACAAGTAATTTACCTAAATTTCTTATTTTAAACATAAAACTGAATTCATCAGATCTATAGAATCAAATTCTTTGACGATTTCTATATCAACATATTTATCGTTAATCAAACAAAAATAACGGAGTTCATGTATTAACAATTACCTTTTATCAAGTGCATTTAAACCTATCTAGTATATCTAGTTTGATTTGACATACATGTTGTCAACCTTTTATTGTCTATTGCAATGCACTATAAATCGATATTTGACTATATATTTGTTATTATTTAAATTTACTTTATTGAATGAAAATAATCTTCATAAGCTGTTAATACCGATATCAATTAATATATAAATTCGACTTTATGATACATACAAATTTCCGATCGATTTTATCACAAAAAAATTATAACAAACTAATCATTTTTTACTAGAGGTATTTTTATTTATTAACACTGGTCGAATATGTATATATATATATCTTTTGTCAGTTTAACTGGTACTTCGATTTATTAAAAAAAGAAACAAATATTATTATTTTTTTTCTTGTAAAGGAAAAATCCTTTATATAAAATAATACAAAAAATATTCATCGAATAAAATATACATATCTAAAAATTATACTATTTTTACTTCATCTATAATGACAAGGCAAAAATTTTGCCTCGTCGCCACACCATTACAACATAAGTTATAGCGTACACTATCGTTTGTTTTCTGTTCTGTTTCTCTTTCTGTTGAATTGTGCTTGGTAAATATTACCTATACACGTTACTCTCTTTCATTCTTTAACATAATATAAAAACATGTGCTTCGATTTTTTTCAAGAAAATAAAAAATTATTAAAATAAAATAAATTACTCATTATTAATTATGTAAGTAAAATATATTTTTCAATTTAATAACTTATAAAATATTATTTAGATAATTTCTTCAAAAATACCATGAAAACTATTTTTGAAGGTTTATGTAATGAAATTCTTATTGATATATTAGAATATATCGCTACACCACATGAGATCTATCATGCATTTAGTAATTTAAATCATCGATTTGATACTATTCTTCGATCTATTCGATTAAAACTTGATATATATGTTGAAGATAAACAATCTTTAACATTAATTAATTATTTTTCATCTTATTGTAATTGTTTATGTATTAATAATGTTTGTCCAACAATTTCTCTGAATAATTTTTCACGATTACGTTCATTAACTATTAGTGAACCAACAGATGAACAAATTAATTCAATACAATCAACAACATTACCAATGCTTGAATATCTTTCTAGCCCAGCTAGTATGGTCAGTACCAAAAAATGTTTATGATAAGAATAATAATAATTCATTTTTTCTAGTTAATTTTTGATTGTCTATTTGGTAATGATCAACAACAACAATGGTTATTTCTTCGTGTTTGTAATTTTTATTTTCCTGTTTTTCCTGATTCAAAATTAACTTGGCAACCTAATTATACACTTTGTACACTTTTTGGTGTTACATGCTCTCGAACTACACTTAGTCAACTTCTTTCACTTCTTCCATGTCTTAAACATTTACGAGTTGATATGATAGCTAATGATTTATCAAATTGGAATTTAAGTATATTTGACAAAACCCTTGCTTCTCTACGAATAGGTTTTCATTATATAAATTATGATGATCTTTATGTATTGATTGGCCCATGTTTACATCGATTATATTTAGAAATATATCATGAACAGTCTTCTATTAATTTTGCTCGTCTAGGTGCTTTACTAACGTCTTTAACAACAAAACTAAAACAATTTAATTGTGATTATCGAGGAGCAAAGATCTGTATAACTGAAATTAAATCTGCTCATTCATTGTTTCAAAATATACAAGCAAAATCATATTCATGTGATACACATGGTGTCATATGTGAAGATATAATATAAAGAATTTTTTTTTATATAGTATATTCTGATAGAAATTAATAATTTATTAAAATGTTTTTCGAGAATAAAAATATGTGTTTTAGAATTAAACGATATTTAGAGATCGATTGAAATCTTGTTTGTATTATTTATTTGATAAAGTAGCTAAAGATCGAAAGTGAGAATGTTGAAAACTATAATATTACATATATATTCATCAGTTTTATTGATGAGAATCTAAGCAAAGCAATGTAAGTTAAATAAACTTTCGCTAATTCTTCGTCGAAGATCGGAGTGATTGGCTTGGGTTCAAAGACTATACGTTCGTTGACATTAGATTTAAAAGTAAGAATCACAGTGCGTTCAGGTGAAGATAAATGGTTTGAGTGATCAACTTTATGAACTTTGCATCAATATTTAACATCCGTATGAAAAACTGCAAAGCGGAGACGAATTTCACAGCGCCAATATTGTCTTGTTTAGTTAATATACAAATTAAATCAATACCAAATCATATTTGACTTGCCTTGTTTCCTTTACAAATAATATTATTAAACAACCGCAATCATGTCAAGTAGAGCTTGATTTCGATAACTTTATATGACCTAAAAATTTTAATGGTAAGATGTAGAAGTACACTTAGAACAATATCTTTTAATGGTAATCCGTTTTTATTAAAATAAGACTACAACTGATCGTCATCTGTATAATATCGAAACTTTCTCGTTCTATTTCTACTATTTATATTTTTGATATTATTTGAATAGACTGTTGAAAGGTCATTGTAGCAAATTAAACTTTGAATATAATTATTATAATTCACTTGAAAAATAATTGTGATATAAACAGAGTTATACACTAGTTTAAATAAAAATAAAATTTTTCAATGAAGTATTATTCCCATAGTTAGAATTATTGCATCTTATAACATTTAATTTAAGTAAAGTTTTTAATTTTTGATTAATAAGGAAGAGTTTAACATGAAATAATAATTCGTAAAAAATGGTTTATTTAATAATTGTTTCAAAATATAGGATTGACTGAAAACAATTTCATCTCTTACATCTTATTAAACTATTTATACTAATCATTTCAATCGATAAATGTTTGACTCTAACTGATACCGCTACGATATATATAAGTATTTTGATTGTAGCATTATTATTTATTAATTATATTTAGGAAGGAAATTTTCATTGAGATAAATAGTAGACACGATTATATAAAGTTTAAAATTGAAAAATATTTATAATTTTATAGTATACGTTTATTCACGAACTTTTGTATGAGATTAAATTCATAATTGTATCAAATATAGCATTTTTTCTCATTAAATCTAATATATATCGATTGTACCATGGATCATATTTATAAACTTAGGCGAACTGGAATAGGTTAGACTGTTCTATATCTTCACATCCAAAACTAATCCTATTTATAGAGCATATTATGAGATATACTAAAAGGAAAATACATGTATGTGTTAGAAGAAAGAAAATAAATACATACAGATAATTAATCCTATCGACATTTGATCTTATTAATGAACAATAATATTTTCATGTTAGCACTACATTTTATAATTCAAGGATTTCTTAGGTTAGACTATGTAAATATCATACTGAGAAGTCTCAATAACTCCTAGTACCAATATAATAACTGTTGATCTCTTACCGATTTTTAGAATATGAGTATATCTCACAGCAGTATTTCTTTTCTTCTGAATTGACATGATCGATCATACTTTCTCATTAGATATGAGGTTATATAGGAGTTAGTTTGTTGTACAAAAAAAATCAAACTTAATCTAAATAATATTATTTGTCCTTGGAGAGTAAAATTATTTTAAGATAATCTATATTATTGACATATTGATAACATTATTAGGCATATAAATATATAAAGTCAACATGACAATACAAGAAAATAAAAATGACTCAATTAAAATGCCATATTAAATATTTCACAAGCTATAAAAAAATATTTATATAAAGTCAATATGTTTTGATAGAAAAATCATTTCAATTATATCATCAATTATAAACATGAATAGCTTTACAAATATTTTATTATGTCTATATGTAGCTACGGTGTCAACAGTTGTTCTTCCTGAATTACATGTTATTAAACAAGCAACATTTAAATATCCATACAGCTGTCAACCACAACCAATAAAATACGAAAATTGTGCTTTGTTTCTTACCCAATACGGTGTATCACGCAATGCACCCGACCTCTTATATAATGGTGCTTGTGGTAGTGATAATGTCTTTGATGTTATGCTTGCTGGTTCAAATTTTGGTATGTTAAGTGATTTAGGTGATGTACCATTAGAAACTGTATCTGCATCCAAGGCTTTCAATTACAATAGAACAGTTGGTCAAGATAATGAATTTGTTGATAGTATTCCTGTAGTCAAAGGACATACTTATGCTGCAGTTTTAGCTAAATCAGACATTCGTGCATTGTTTGTTTTTCGTGTAGAAAGTTATGAACGAAGTGGTCCAGCTGTAATTTCATATGCTGTTAAACAATATGCTATGATGGAAGTAGTTCAAGAAGCACCTGGCTTTGATTGGGATGCTCCAAATCATTAAATATCATTTAAAATATTCATATTTTAGTTTTGAAATGAATTGATTAAGAAATAAATTTCAATAATATATTCTAAAGTTAACATATAATTTCTATAAGAAGAATTATTCTATATGATTAATCGTTACTTTTTTTTACAGATTCGAAACTAAACAATGATAGTACTAAAAATAAGATTAATTCAAATACTATCAATTTCGAAAGACGATGATATACATTCAAAAAATAATTTTTTTTTGGAACGATATTTAGTCTTATGCACATTTTCCGTACTAAGAATAGAATTTTATTTAATAATAAATTTTTTCCTAATAAAATAAATGTTTTTCAGAACGAGGAATAGTAATTCTATAGAAAAATCAATTAAAAAAAATAATGAAAAATGACTGAATCGTTTGAATTGATGGTTTTCATAAGAAAAAAAACAGATCATCTGGGAATTACACTTACAAGTCTTCGATGGTTGTCTGTTAAATATATTATGAATTTTCAATTTAATTATTTTATGTTACCTTACATGTATTTATAGATTCTATATATTAAAACATATTGAATCATTTTTTATACGGTTAAATAATTATATTCAATAAATTGTTCGATAGTACAAAAAATAAAAAGCATTGAAAAAGTGATAATATAAATTATTAAATATGTTATATGTCAGAATTATGTACACGACAATGATTAGACCCATCAAGTCAACTAAAAGCGATAATGTATACTGTCATTTTATACAGCCTCTGAATCTGAATATTTATCGATTGACATTTGATAGAATGCAGTATTACGTCTGTATATTATTGTGCCATATATAATTGATAACTGCTATTAAATAGTCTGACTACTGAATATTCGACCGTTTATTATATAGTAAGATATGATTGTCATACTGTATGTACTAAACAATTTTTTTGTATTCAGGTTTATTTGACATAAATGAGTTCAGAATCCAATTCCCATTAGATTTGTACTTTTTTTTCTCGTGAAAGATAGATATAAATTATTCTTTCATTTATATAATAATGATATTAAGAGATTAGTTAGTTTATAATTAATATTTTCTTTTTTTTTCATCTTAGTTTTAAATGGTAATGACATACGGATATTGATTGCATAATCAATCAATAGTTTGATTTTTTTTCTTCTTATATTAAGTGCAATGATATAATTGATTCTTTTCTCAAAAGTTAGAGTGCGTTTTATCATATGTGCGTTACCGAAGAATGCAACATTTAAATATTATTTAATAATTTAGTAAGTCAATAATAGGAATACTGAACAAAAAAAATGATAAAATAGAATTAAGTCTCTTTGTAGATCAAAAAGTTGAATAGAATAATAATTATTAATTTATATTAATTCTAAAATGTTTCGAATTTGGCTACAATTGCGTATCAACTTAAATATACATATATAAATAATTTAAAGTAAAAATAGATTTTAGTTCGAGGTTGTTTTGATAGTAGTGATTATTTTGACAAATATTAAAGGAAAAAAAAGCAATAGATGCAGTACTCATCATAACAACACAAATAAAGAAAAGAGCACCGGGTAAACAAACTGAAGAATAATAAATAATATGTTTGTAATTATGCAGAAAGCTAGATTTACATCTCAACAAATTGCATGACATACGTCGATCATATTAATATAATAACCATCGTATTTTCTCCTCCTTCTTATTTCAGTATGTCAAAAATATAAAGAGTCCTACAGTAGGGTCTATAAATTAGATGGAGTCCAGCTGTTACAAATATTCATAAAATAATGATTTGTCTATATACAATGTTTTCATTTGTTTCGATTTTATCAAGAAAAACGTAAGTTAATATTACTACATTTTGATTTTTATCAGTATGTGTTAAATTTAAATTTTTTTCAATATAAAAACGATAAACAATACTTTTATCTATCAATAATAAAGTTAAATACGTAAATACATATGTTTTCTTATTTGTTATTGATGCATATAGATAAAACTGTGAGAAAAATATCTTTCTATTACAAGTATTGACTAAAATTTTGAGTGTGAATTAACTTGACAAAATATAATAAATATTTAGCATTTGTTGTAATTTATGATAGATATCAATAGTAGCCTACGCATCTCAAAGTATTATTTATGAGTAAGGCATCGTTTTATGTTACCTATCATTATGGTAAAAGGGATTTATGGATTTATTTCTAATAACTATTTTCCGATAGATTAAATAGAATAGACATTTATTATAAGAGAATGTCATAGATTCGCTTTTATTTCATCTGTCATCTAATGTATATATATAGAGAGAGAGATGGAATATGTCGTATTTGTATCTATTTCTATGCTATTGATTGGATTTATTTTTAACTCCTTTTTTTTGTGGATTTATTATAATAATAAGATGAAGATAAGAAATAATCACCTATTTATATTAAAGAGATCTATATGTCTTATATTGTCTCCTTTCATCATCTTAAAATAGAAATCCTATTAAGTAAACCAGACATGATTATTTTTTAATATTCCGGTTTATTATATTACTATATATGTATTTAAAGTCCGTAATGACAACTATTTTTCTTAGCTCCAGACAAATTATATTTATCATAACGGACATAACTAACAATCATTGACATGTTAATTTCCTATATTAGCTACTAACATATCCAATTCAGTTCATTGTTACAAGTTAAAGAAGACAAGTAACATTCTACTCAATGTATATATTTCCCATATTTCAAGCCATTCCGAAATTCAATTTTTTATTTCTTTAAGTAAATTAATATTGACATTTTGGACAAACGTGTAAAAAAAAATCTAGGGTTATCAAAATAGACAAATAATATTTTTTTTTATATTTACTCAATTTTTTTTTCTTCATCTCGTATTTCGACATCATCAAGTGAATAGAAGCAGGCAGTCATTTTCTTTCTTAAGACTTTAGCCTATTGACAAATACTATGACCAAATAATAGTATAGTGAGTGTTAAACAATCGTCTCGCATTTTTTTTTAATATATCTATATATAGAAGAATAAACACAATTAACAGTTTAATTATAGTTTCTAAATAAATGTGTCGTCAGCCAATCAACACTTATAAAGATAGTTGTTTGTCTGAAGCTAGAATACGAGTTTGTGGAATATTTTTCTTTTTTTTTATAGCACATTTTGTAGACTGTTAGTAGATCAAACAAAAAATATAGGCTTTTTTTTGCTTTGATAATTGGATTGAAATACATTTATTATAATTAATGATAAGTTTCTCTTTTTTTTCTCTTTTACATTCATTAGATAACTTATAGAAAATCTATCGTTATCTTTAAATTAAACTACTGACATGGATTGGTGTTTACCATGGACTAGATCAGTCTCATTATATGGACATTATATTCCATCTATAACATTATTTATATTTGGTGTTACATTTAATCCTATAGCACTTTATTATTTTGCAACATCACGAAATTTTCGTCGTTCAGCATATTCATATTATTTTTCAGCAATTGCTGTTTTTGATTTAATACGTTTAACAATATGGTGTTCATATCTATTAATTGATTATAAAATATATAAATTAAATTTTCCCGAAGGTGGAACACTATGTTCAATACAAGTTTTTTCTGAATCAGTTGCAAGTTCAACAAGTGTTTGGTTAACTGTTTCATTAACTGTCGAACGTTGTTTAGTTACATTTAATCCATTACAAGTCTTAAATGATACAAAAGGAAGACGTGCACTTATTATTATATTTTCTGTTATTTTGGCATCATGTGCAATTAATTCACTATTTTTACATCCAAAATTCTATGAAATAAGGTCAGAAATAATTCAATTTCATGATCTTTTTATTTTAACATATAGCTATAATAATTTCCATGCTTATATAATTCATTCTAAGACAAAAAAAAAATATTTATTCGAGAAATATTATTAACAGATGTTTGAGAATATATTTGTATATCATTTAAAGGATATGTTATCTTGTTTAGTAAGATAAATATAAAGAAAAATTGTTTAGATTAATTTGTACTACTTAAACCTATCGATATATATTTATTGCTAGAAATATTTCTTTATATAAAATCTAACATTTCAATCTCCATTATCGATGTAAATTTTTTTCTTTTCTATATTTTAGAATATACCAGGAGCATATTCGAACGACAGTATGTTATTATAAAGATCCTTATACTATACCGGTAAATCAAACGAATTCTACTAACAATTCGATACTAACACCAAATGTAAAATTAGCATACTCATTATCTACAATAATCATTCGTGTTGTTATTCCATTTATATTACTTCTTACAGCCAATATAATATTATTTTTAAGTGTACGTCAAACAGAAAAACAATCATTAAAATCTAAGAAAATCTTATTAGTTCGTCATGGTCATCATCGACAAATAACACCACTGATTTTTTTTTCATCATGTATTCTTCTCTTAACTGTATCACCACGGTAAATAGGAATCAATTAAAATTTAATAAAATATTTTTTTTGTTCTTGATATTTTATAGATATTTAACACAATTTTATGTAAATTTTCGTCTAGGTTCAGGGAAAAAAATTAGTTGTACATTGACACATTTTGCACCACATTTATTAAAAACATTAGAATTATCTAATTATTCATTTAATGTATTTATATCAATTGCTAGTGGTAAACATAGTCGATATGAATTATTTAATATGTTATTATGTCGAGCAGATAGATTACGTTCGAAATTTCAACACTCATCAATAAATCAATCATCTGTTTTAGCTAAATTACAAAGTCACAAACGATTAAGCAATAAAACAGATAATCAAACAAATTCGACTCATAAATCACTTCTTTCGAATAATAACAATTTTCAGCAACTTTAATAATAGTCAGATGTTTGTTCTTAACATTCAAAATATATGACCATATGATTTTTATTAACGTTTTTTTTAGTGAATTATTCCATATATATATAATAGATAAAAAGATTACTGAAGTTGGTTTGTAAAATAACAATATTACATTGACCTGTTTTTAACAGCAGTGTACTCATTTTTATGAATACAGCTAGGAGAGGACGATCATTAGCATTTGTTATTTGCATTTTAAAATAATGTTTAATGAAACGATTGTATTTACTTTATATCATGTCAAAAAAATAAATTACGGACCGTAGACTAAAACTGGAGCATCAGACATGGAGATTTTATACACTCATCAATAAGTAAATTGCGTTGAAGATGATCGTACATCTCTGTAATTGGACATGCGGAAATAGATCCATATAGACAGATAGATGAAGTTGATACCATGTTTGGTCAAAAAGCTGTTACGAAGTATAAATCTATCCAATGCTATACTATTAGATAGAGATCGTTGAGCAGTTCTTAAAACAGCTTCCTGAACGAAGACGGTGCCAACTTTGCCTACATAAAAAATATGAACCTAGATGATTTTCTGACGTAAACGAACGAAAGATGAATTCAAATATATATATTATAAGAATGATCTATTTTGGGGATTTCTATTATGTCATGTCTCCAGCTGTTGCAATGTCATGTACTTATTGCCATTATAATGTTTTTGTTTTAATACATTATACTGAAAAATATGGCTATAATTATATAATAATGTAACAGCCGGCTGCATGGGTATATAACGATGAATATATTCTAACATTTTGTTGTCTCCTCATTTGTGTGACCCCTTAGTGCGTCGTTTTCCTCATGATGTGTGTCCTTCCTCCGCTGTATCCTATTCATATCGTATTCAAAAAGTGTAAGCACTCAAGAGTGTTACACAAATAAAAGCGTTAACAAAAAAAAATGGGTATATATCGATGAATATTTATAAGGGGCGTCACAACGTTTTGTCAGGAATGTTATATTCATCTTCATTTTTATAATAATGAATCTTAGAAGATTCTGTGTAAAAAACAATGATAACTAATAATTCTATGTCTTTTGGTTTTTGAATTACTACATCGTACGTTAAGACACATATATGAGACATAAACTATCGTTATTTGAAACAAGTTAGTTACAACAATCCTTTTCCTTTTATTACAGAGAAAACTAATCACATAGGACATAAAAACCGTCAATTATTTATTTAATCTCTCTATATTTATAGGATTAAATGCACAATATAAAAATACTGTAATTCATTACTAGTAACAAGTCAATCAAAAGACAAATATAAACGAAAAGAAAATTTTCGAAATGCAACATTGACAAAAAAAACTATTTTAAGGCTTACAGATTTAAATGATAGGTATATAATTATCAAGTTATTTATAGAACTAGGAGTATTTTGCTTTAGAAAAAAACAATGGAAACAAAACTATTACTCTTAAGACATATGTCGGAAATGAAACGGTTATTATACAAATTAAATTCATAGAGAATATTCAATTTAAACATCGTCGTTACTACGGAATAACCTGTCGAGGTATGGAGATAATTTGAGAAGAACTCGTGCAATATCAACTTGTTGATATGTATTATTAAATAAAACATTTCAGTTAACGTCAAAATCAAATTCAGTTGCCTTACGTTTTGCATAATGAAATCCATCAACATTAGGAATAGAATTTGTTTAATATTATTATTGATAAGCTTCGACAACCGAACATCAGCACTTGATATTCGATGTTTATCAATATATCTCGAAGAAAAAGACGTATTAATGATATCTAGTTGTTTATTTAAAGTGACATATATCGATAAGAGTAGAACACTAATGAATATTCAAATTTAACAAATATGAAACGTCTAGTACATAGATATTATATTTGACCTTTAAATGATAATAATCTCTATAATGTCAAATTTCATAGAAAACTAACAGTTTCTTTTAATTTTCAGTTAAACATTTCTATTGATGATTCAATAATTAGTAATATCATATTAGACATGATGATGTTATTTATTATCGATGATTATTGCTTATCTTTCTTAGTTCGCAAAAGAAACATGCAAAAAATAAATATAAAACTCAAAGAATATTTTTTTATTGTATCCAATGTTCTAGCCAATTAAGTGAATTGATATCGAATGATTTTCATTAGGTAGATAAAGCATTCTACTTGGAATACCATGGCATTATAAAGCTGTAAATGTATTAATTCCTTGTGAATCAAATACACGATAAGCATGGTCTCCGTGAATAATAATTATTCTTTAATTATACCTACTATGTTTTTCAACGGCTACAAATAAGTTTCGAGATATTTCGATTTATTGTGTTAGAATAACGTTAGAAATTATAATGTAAGCTTAGTTTATATTTGTATTATTTTCTTTATAGAAATTTTGAAGAATTATTAAAAGAAACTGGTGGCATCTGTCATACAAATAACAGGATTGATCATGTGATATAACCATTCATAAAAATAAATCTTTTCCCTTTTCTTTTCTCCGTCGATGGAAAAGCAAACCTTCATGATCATGAGCCATTTTTTTGTAAATAATAGTATTACCGTTAATACTACTACGTCAATATATATATGTAGTTATCTGATAACTATTTTTAGAAAGATGTTAATTATTTGTTATATTTCATTGTTATAAAAATTTTAATACCCGATAGAACATTAGAGTTTCACATTTAATTAGGAAAATTATTTTCTAAAGAATCGAATTCATTGTTAAAAGTAAGCTATTTCAAATATAAAGATAATTTTATATATTTTTATTTTAATAGAGTTGAATCAATCAATAAAAAAAATGATAGAAAATTTTCTGATAGATAAACGATAATATTATATTTGACAGAAGACTTCAGAAAATTAGCTATTAAATGAGAACGGTTTTTTCATCTACTGAAGAACTCATGTAGAAACCTTTCATACATATTAAATATCGATTGTTTTCTCCTTCTTTAAACATATTGTTTCTCTATTAAATGTTTATCAGTTCTTCATTATACAACTAAAAAGCATTCAGTCGTAGTTGACATGTAATTTATCCATAAAGGATACTGATGAAAATATTTGTTCTATAACTTCAAATTGTGTAACTAATCATCTAAGATACTTCATCCGCAGTGTTTTATCTAGGTTTTGCCTTCCGAGAGTGCGAGAGCGATTTCCGGGATGGCGACAACCTAATTTCTGGAAGGAAATTATACAGTATAAGCACAAAAATTGCAATTTTCGGAAGGTCGCCGCCATTCTAGCCCTCCCTCTAGATAAATCACTTTTCAGACGTTATATATAAAATAGATATTATTTTTTTTAGATCATGCCATCATTAGGATCTGGAAGAATTTTATCAAAATCATATCATCGCTTTACATCAGATACACTTTTTCGTTTAATAATTCAAACAAATCAATATGATGATATTCGTTCATCATCTTTGCAAGATAATGACTTAACATCATCATCATCATCTTATACAAATGGACATTTATCCGAATATGATCTTCGTCATCTTTGGACACTTTTATCACAAATGATTCGTAAACGTTTACTTAAACATGAACCATGTTTATTACCTGAATTAGGTGCTTTTGTTTTAATTAATCATCCATCAACGGATAATACAATTAATCCAATAAAAGAACCATTTTTTGTATTAGATACATCATTTGCTCGTCGTCATCGTTTATCACGTATAAAAAAACCAAATTTATCATCGGCACTTTCACTTTCACTTCAAGCAAATGGTAATTCGACACATATTGAACCAAATACAACATTATCATCATTTAATATGCAAACAATAGATTATTTATCATTACAAAATGAATCAGGTTTAACACGTGAACAATTAATGACAGCTATATCACAAATATTTGCTATTATTGATAGAGAAATAAATCCATATGGTTATTGTTATTTAGAATTTCCTCAATTAGGACATTTTAAAATTCAATTTGGTTTAAGTACATTCGAGTTTAATGAAACATTTATTGAAGAATTTAAAACAACAAATGAAAACTAAACGAAAACTTTTATTTGATTTATGTCCGGTGATTATATTAAATGTTGTGTCAGATTTCTTTTTTCTTTTGTATGTATTCTTTGTTTGTTTGTAGTTATATTTGTATTGAAGAAAAAAGTATTTGTATAACGTGTATAGTTATCCATAAATTTCTATCATTTCATATTGACAAACGTATATACATATTAATTTAAAAAAATAATCTTTCAGTAAACATATATTAAATATACTTGGAGTTATTCAAAAATAGTACTTGTTTTTCTCATAAAAAAAAGACTTTCTTTATGAATAGATCGAGCGTCGTTCATTCTATTTGATAAGATTTGCCCCGTTGTCATTTATACTGGTAATACACTTGTATGAAAAATATAAACATGTCAGCAGATGCGGCAAGAGAAGTTCTACAATTCACTTAAGATCGTTTATTTCATAGTTACATTTTTTCGCTTTCAGTACCGATAAAACTTTTAGAAGGAAAAGATAATTTTTTCATCGGTGGTAAACTCGTTTTTGTGATATTTCAGCGTTTCCTCACCGGATATGTTTATAAAAGAAAAACAAAAAATACTACAATCGGTATGTATTGAAAATGGCAAAAAATTAAATCTTGAAGAAAAAATATCGAATGAATGAGTAATAATGTTTGATGAAGAGTAAAGGTGAGGGTAAGGGTGTGACTGTTCTAGTTAATAACGACGTTTTACATGCTTGATATTTTTCTTTTTTGATATTTTTTCTTTTGGCGTTTTTATAGTAAATCCTACAATCCACATAACAATACTTATTGTAACTGTTTTCAAAAAAAAAACAAAAATTCTATTCGACTAATTTTTGCAGCTCCAAAGTTTTGCTCATTTTGGAAAAAAACAGTACCATGATAAAGAAACGATTATATGTAAATTGTAGAACTCCTCGTGTTGCATCTAATGAAATAATTTTTATTTTTAATGCGACGTATTACCGGTTTAATCTGTGCTATCAACACAAACCTTATCGAAAATTTAGCATTGTATTTTAAACCTTCTGCCTCTATATCTGAAGAACACTGAGTAGAACGATGTTATAATTAGACACACGACATATCACGTGATATTCAAAAGAATATTATCGCATCATAATAATATAAAATTTTGATTTCTAAATTCTTCAAATCAATCATAGAATTTCAAAAGACGTTTTTTTCTCTTATGAATAGATAAAATTCTAAATATAACTAAAAAAATATATATGATTCATTTTCTAATTAGATTTATATCAAAGAAATCATTATTTTGTTTTTTGATTTATCGATATATATGAATAATAGGCTTTGATTATAATATATGTCTGATGAAATAATTCGTAATTCTTCTATATGACGATATTTGTTTGAAGGTTATCTTTCTTTTGAAGTTACTTTTTCACAATACAAGCATTGTTATGTGCATACCTGTAAGAAAAGCATGACTTCAATCGATCACAAGATATACAAAATCGGCTATAATTATATCTATAACTGACAGCTACATAAGAGCATACATAATTACAATCACTTTTTTCTGTCAAATTGTTGTCAATATGAAATGCAAATAATCTTTGATAATAAAACAATCGGAAATGCTTGACTGATTTCGACCTTGTCAAGATAAGTATACCGTTAGCTAGGATAACGAAGTAAAAATATTTTGATGAATAAATTTGATTATTTACTGTTAAAAAATACATTAATGTGCGATTTAAGTTTAGAATAATAATTACTTCTTTTATTATAGCTGTTAAATAATACTTAGTTATGAAGAATAGTTTATTATTGATAAAGATTTAAAAATAAAATTATCGACAATTTATAGGATTAGATTTGTTCGATAGAACAGTAAAGAATTTGAATAAATTATTTTATTTGATCGATTCAATGTGTTTAATTAACATTTCGTATGGTTAAGAAAAAAAAAGATATTATCGTAAAAGCGAAACATCATAAATAAAAATAATCGAAAACTATATTCAAAAGTATGATTAATTGAAAAAAAAATACTTAAATATCATTTTTGTTTTTCTGGAGTCCGTTAGGGATGAATGATTTGATTACTCGAGGACAATATCTGTTTTTTTACGCCTATCAAGTGGATATATAAATTAGGTAATAATCAATACAATTATTCAGTGTAAACAAAATCGTGTCCTCGATACAAACAAGAGGATAAAATAATGAGACCTGCTGGACCGTCGAGATCAGCGTAAAATAGTTTTTATTTAAACATATATTTTTCTTATGAATTTTTTTTGTTAATTAGTGCTGCATGGCCCTTGGCAGCAATCTGTTGTTTAGGTTTACTTTTATTTACAATTGCTGCAGCGATTGTAATCGCTTTAATTCCGGTATATCTTCCAACAAAAAATGCATCAGCTTCACAAAACGTTTTGACTTGTATGATTACTTTCTTTTTTCTCTGGAATAAAAAATAATTTTTTCTTTCTTTTTAATGTTTTTAGCTAATACACCATTCTATCTTCAAACTACTTCGGATGCAGATGATGACTCAAATCTAGCAGGCACTGGAACAAATACTGACGATGTAAAGTCGATAATTGTTATATATTTACTACTTGATTACATATATTTTTTTTTAATTTAGATTGCTAACAGTTTAGGTATATCTGGTGATGATATAAAAGTTACCGGGATTACTACTGCACCTGGAGGATCTGTGGTGAGACGAAAACGTGGCTTGTAAATTATATATTAAATTTGTTTTTTAAATTTATTGATTGATTTTTTATTGTATTATAGCAATTCACGTACAAAACGAAGTTTCTCAATACTAATTCTTATAACATGCCAATTTACAAAAGCATTCAAAGATTGTAATGCACATTGTATGAATGCAAGAAAACAATTCCAAGCCAATGTATTAAAAATTACTAGCCTTCCCATAAAACTTGCAGTTAATCCTGGCAGTGCTGGTCTTGGTACTGCAGGTACATATGGTTATACGTGTAAAAAATTTACATTTCTAACAACAAGTAAGTAAACAGAAAATTGTTTGAATAAATTTATTTATGTTAATTGTTATAAAGAACCATCTGGTTTCCCCGGACCGCCACCATCAAACACATTTACCTGTATAAAATCAGGTCTATTCACCGATGCATCGATCTGGGATAACGGAATAGTTCCATATGGTGCTTGCAATGTTGTTATTCCTGCTGGTTTTCATGTGGTTCTTGCAACTCCTGGAATTGGTATTCGAATGATATCGTTGGTTGTATATGGTACATTAAGTTTGGGTTCAGGCAGTTCAACTTTTAAATTTAACTTTGGAATTAATCTTGTTTGTCGTGATGGTGGAAAAATTGAAGATTTAACAACAAACAAACAATTTCTTCTACCTTTCGGTTCGGTAGTTACTATATATCCTAATGGCGGTTTTGTTGCAGCTGGAACTACTCTTCAATCATATACTTCAACAGGTAGTCTAGCAAAAAGTGTTACAATAAGTTCAACAACTGGTCCATTTACTTGTGGTATCTTACCCGATGGAACTACTCTTACGTATAATCAAGTAATGTTTTTTGTTATAAAATCTGGTGATATTGGAACAGGATCATGTTATCTTGGTGGTTCTGCACCAACAGGTCCAGCTTGCGCATCGTCTGGTTGTGGTATTTATGTTGCACCAAGTTGTACATTAACTACAGCTTCATTGAGTGGTCAATTGAGCATAAATATTGGTACTATAATCGTTAACTCAGGATCTACTTGTGATCTAGGAACAGGTGGTTCAAGTAGTCAATTTAAATGTATCAATCCAATTAGCATCATTGTACGAAGTGGTGGAACACTCCAAGTTTCAGCAACAAGCAAAACTTTACTTCTTCCGTTAGGTTCCATGGTTACTATATATAAAGGTGGAAGTTGTACGGCAGGAACTGTTATTCAATCATATACTTCATCAGGTTTAGGAGGTACTATTCAAGTACCCAACGCTGGACCATTTACTGGTGCATTTTTATCTGACGGAACTGTTCTTCAGTATAATGAAGTAACATTCATTGCTATAAACTCTGGTGATATTCAATCAGGATCATGCTATATGGGTGGTTTTGCCCCAAATGTTGCAGACTGTAGTTCTGGTTGTGGTATTTATATTGCAAAAGGTGTAACATTATCAACAGCCAGTCTTAACGGTGTACTGAATATAGATATTGATACATTCACTGTAGCTTTCGGAGCTACTCTTCAAATTGGCACACCTGGTTCAACTGCTGGATTTAAATTTCTCTTTCCTGTCATACTTGACATATCTGGTACATTCTCATTTGTTGCTGCTGGCGGTGGAATCTTTTTAGTTGTTGGTAGTGAGTTCAATCTTCTAGCTGGTGGTTCATTTATTAGTGCCGTCGCAACATTTCTTCAAGTCTATGATCCAGTTAGCGGCGCTCTTATTGGTGTCGCATTAGCATTAGTTTCAGGTCAGACAGGACCGTGGTTTGTTACTGTTTTAGCTGGCGGTGGTTTTACAATAAGCATTATAGGTATGAAATTAGTTTAAAATTTGAGAATAGAATTTCACTTTATATAAAATTAATTTTAGGTGCGGGTTTAACTGGTGTATCATCTACTGTCCCGGTACCAACTGTTGCAATGGGTTAAGCGAAACAAATGTCTTTTGCAAATTGACTCTTTTTACGTTTACACTTTTTAGTTAGCTAATATTTTCTTATCACACAAAACTTATTTTATCCTCGCTATATATTTATTGTCCTTTTTTATTCTTCATATCTTTTTCTCTTTCACAATCCTATTTAAAAATAAAACCATTTTCTTTTAACTATATCGATAATATAAGAAAAATGAAAAAAATGTAATGGTTGTTTAGATTTAACTCAATGAAATATATTTACCTGTATACAGGTAAAATAAATTATTGTCTTATCGCATTCCAATCGATTCAGAATTTTTTTTCATGCAACTGTCATCTATAATCATATCATTGTATTCATGTTAATGACAGTTCTTAGTCATACTGTATCAAATCAGCAAACTAGATAAATATTTAATCATGCGTATAAATATATGATAATAATAATAAAATATTTTCGTGTGTCGCACCTGAATATACGATTTAACGCATCTATAATAGAATAAATTTTGTTTTTCCCTCGACTGCATTGAAGCAGAACATAAATATTAACGTGTGTTAAACAACATCAAGCAATGAAATTATCAAAATTTAAGAGATAGAATATTTTCTAATTCTAATATAACTTCAGATTTGATTTATGTTCCGATTTGAATCTTAACACAAAAATATAAAACTCTAATTTATTTTTATTTGGTTATGTATAAAAGAAACTACAATTCTTATGATGGAGATGATTTTGATAAAAAATCGTATTGTTGCTTCTATTCAACATATCATCTACTGATTTTCAAACCATTTTTGTTGAGAAAAATCAAAAAAAAAAATTTAAGAGAGGGTGCAATTGTACTCAACGCCCTCTCTGTATATCCACCACTGATCCAGATCTAATTGAATGTTGATTAATATCTTTCTACCCATACTGTAAAGACATCTGTATATCTGTATAGATAAATATATCCAATGATAAAGAGACGTTCAACCTCTTTTCTTGCCGCTATAATCAATGCCATTGGATTTACTTTTATGAGCGTGTTCACACTTCCATGTGACTCATTATTAACTATTTCGTCGTTATAATATATCTCAATTAGTACGTAAATATATATTATCAGATATAGATCCGATCGTAAAAACAAATGTATCTCAAAGATTTACTTTTTATTATTTTTCTTTTATTTGTATTCAATAATCATTGGACACAAGGTATTCATTATGTTTAAAATATATTCTAAATAAAAAACAAATTTTTTTTATAGGACAAAATATAACAACAACAACAAATGTAACAGCTTCTACAACTACAACGAGTAATATATGATAAATTTTTTTTTAAAAATTCAAATATTGTTTTTATTATTCAGATGTATTATCGACAATATCGTGTCCGGAAAACGATCCTAGTTGTTCATTAATAAAAGGTATAGAAAAATAAATAATTCATAGAATATTTAAATCATTCTTTTTTGTTCTTTATTAATTAGATGAAATCAAAACATCAGGCAATGGAATTCGTCGTTTATTTTATATTTTTGTTGGATGTTTATTAACAACATGTTTAATAATTGCTATGATTATAAGTTACAATCGTATAATTGCACAACATCCATCAACGAATACGAATATAAATAATAGATTTCATAATATTTTACAAACAATTGGTTTAAATAATCTTACTAAAACTGGAAGATTTCCTTTTTTTTCGATTTCAAATAATAATCAACCATCCGCAAATCATCGACAAGGTGAAACATCACGTTCACATTTAAATGAAAATCAAGATGAAGCATTGTTATTCGATGATCCATATACAGATGGAATTATTTCAGGTGGTATTCATGGATCATCAACGAATCCATATAAATCATTAACACTTTCAGTTACTTAAAACAAAAATCTCTATTCAACATATAATCTCATTATTCAGATTTAATAGTTTTTGTTTGTGTATGTATATTTGTATTAAATACATCTTATTTTATGAAATTTATTATATGTCATTTTTCTTACGTCTCATCTATTGTTTGGAGTTAAATTATATTATATATTGAATTCGAAATTATGATTTTTGATCTATATTCATTTAGAAAACAGAAGGGGATATACAGTTTGATTGATTTTCAGAGAGTATTCTATTAACTTGAATGATGTTTTTTTTGTATAATAAATCTTGAAGCTTTTTTTTTTGTTGAATTAACGTCTTTTATAAATGATTAAATCAACTATATTTTCGAATAAATAATTTCTCCATGACAACTTATTATTGTCTAGTTTAATGTCAGGCATTGAAATTGAATATAATAATCATACTGGATGGTTATGTAATGATGATCTTATTCTCGTATGTGATCGAGAAGAAATTATTGATAATTCATTTATGGATGATAATAAACTTCAATTAATGAATCGAACACGTCGTCGTTATATACCAAAAGTTAATTTTAATGATAAAAAATTATTTCCTTCAATATTAAATCGAACAGTAACAAATGAAATTAATACTGATGATGAACTTCTTTCAGAATTAAGTTCAATGTTAGCTTGCCGTGAATATGTTAGTAAACAGAATAACTTTTTTGATCGAAAACAATTTCAACAAGCTCAAGCAGCACAAGCAGATGAAGAAAAAAAATTTCATGAACAACAAAAACGTCAACAAGAACAATCTCATATTGAACGACTACAACGAAGGCGACAACATCCATTGTATGTTAGTCGATTTGATGAAAAACGTTATGTACCATCAATAAGAAAAAAATTATATAAATTTCATTATTAGATATATTATTGTTTAAAGAATAATAAAAAAAAATTCTTTTCAACGGTATATATCGCCCTCTATAATTTAGTTTCATAACAAAGAATTAGATAATACAAATTTTTTTCGAAATTTTATAATATATCTATCTTTGATTATATAAAATCGAGTCTAGTTTATCAGTAATATATAATTGGATAAAGATTTCCATTGTCTATTCTATTATCCATACTATGTGATAAATTATAATAAACACCAATCATACAATTTCTTAATTTAAACTGCTTTCCCGTTTATTTGTTTTTCATCATGCCGGTGCCAATCGAAGAAAAAATATAAGAGCATGTTCTTTTTCTTCCTTTTTTCTCGTTGAAACAGCATCCGATTTATGGTACTTTTGTTTTTCTATATAGTTGTTCTTTTCGGCGATTGCGAGTCGATCTTGGCATTACTGGCAGGAATATATATATATATATTTGATCCAGAATGCTTAACATACTAGATATTATTTTTCTCTCTCTCTTCTTCTAAAGATTATTCTGTTATATTGAATAGAGAAGAAGGAGTATGAGTTTCTCGATATTTGTTTCATATTTATCAAGCTCGACCGGAAATTTCAACCATCATTTTATAAGAGATAAGTATAATATTAGATTTTATGATTGATACATTAAAATAAAAACATAACGTGATCTTTTCTAACGTCTACAAGTGTTTTTTGCGTTCTCAAAAACTAACTATTAGATTTGAATAATTTTAATCAATAGACAAATAATGTAGATAAGGAGAAATTTTATTTTTTTCTTCTTTTGTTATTTTTCTCTATATAAAGATTAATATTACTTTACCATTACAAACTATATATTGAATCGAGATGGAAGATATTCATCATTTAACAATAAGTAAGTTTATCTGATTTTTGCTTATCGAGTGATATTTTGAATTATATTATTTTTAATACTTAGCATGAATTCCTTATTTATTTTTTTTTCTCCATTCATACCTGTTTTATTGAGAAAAACAAAAGTTGATTTTTTTTTCTAAATTTGATTTCTAGATGACAATGAAAGTAATCATGACGATGAAAACTATTTAAAAACACGAACCAATTCGGATTCTAGTCAACATTCCTATCACCGTTCAAATCGTTCATCACTGTGTCCAAGAATGCCTAATATAAAAGTATTTGGTGGTTCATCACATCCGGAATTAACAAAATTAATTTGCGCTCGACTTGGCTTAGAACCAGGAAGAGTTATAACAAAAAAATTTAGTAACCGAGAAACAAGGTAACTAATTTTTTAAAGAAGCAAGAAAAAAAATATTTTAATTTATTTATTAAAGTGTTGAAATCAATGAATCAGTTCGTGGTGAAGATGTTTTCATTGTTCAAAGTGGTTGCGGAGAAATTAATGACAATCTAATGGAATTATTAATTATGATAAATGCATGTAAAATTGCATCAGCTTCACGAGTTACAGCTGTCATTCCATGTTTTCCTTATGCTCGACAAGATCGAAAAGATAAAGTAAATCAAAACAATAATAATAATAATTCATTTATTTAATATAAAATATTTTATTATTATTATAGAGTCGTGCACCAATATCAGCTAAACTTGTAGCAAATATGTTAAGTGTGGCTGGTGCTGATCATATTATAACAATGGATTTACATGCATCACAAATTCAAGTAAAATTTTGTCTTTTAGAAATATAACAAAAAATATCTTCTTATATTATTTTCCAGGGTTTTTTTGATATACCCGTAGATAATCTTTTTGCTGAACCGGCAGTTATACGTTGGATATCTTTACATATACCAGATTTTAAAAATGCTGTTATTGTTAGTCCTGATGCTGGAGGTAAATATGATTTATTTAATTAATTGAAAATTAATAATAAATTTTTTTTTAATTTTATTTAGGTGCTAAGCGGTAATTAAATATTGTTGTTGTTGTTGTCTTCTTAAATTTCTTTATATTAATTATAGTGTAACATCAATTGCTGATCGATTAAATATTGATTTTGCACTTATTCATAAAGAACGAAAACGAGCTAATGAAATTGATTCAATGGTACTTGTCGGTGATGTTACAAAACGAATTGCTATATTAGTTGATGATATGGCTGGTAGGTTTAACTTAAACGAATCAATTTTCTAATGAAACTTTTTCTTATTTTAGACACATGTGGAACATTTGAATGTGCATCACAAAAGTAAATGAAGAATTTTTATTTTCGAAAGATTTGTATATTTGACGAAGAATTTTTTTAATAGGTTATTGAGTGCAGGTGCAAGTAAAGTTTACGCTATTTGTACACATGGAATATTTAGTGGACCAGCTGTGTCAAGAATAAATAATTCTCCATTTGAAGCTGTTGTTGTTACAAATACTATTCCACAAGAAGCAAATATGCAAAATTCAAATAAAATTCAGGTTAGAAAATTAAATATGCATGGTATAAGAACTGATGATGTAAATGTACTGCGAATTTTTTTAACTAGTAGAATATAAGAGCTTAAAATACATTGAAACAATCTTAAACCTAAGGATTCAAATCTATTATTTATATTTTTAGGTGATTGATGTATCGATGATGTTTTCGGAGGCAATTCGTCGTACGCATAATGGTGAATCCGTTTCCTATCTCTTTACTCAAATGCCACTTTAAAAATATCAATACCGCGAAAACAATTCATTGTGATAACAGAGTTTTTTTTTCTTTTTCTTTTTTTTGTATATGATCGAAAGACATACAAATCTATTTGTAGTTCATTAAAGTATCACGTTTTTCTTTTTTGTATAACCAGTTTTCATTTCATATGATCAGTTTTTTTTCATTTGCATGTTTATCAAACTATAGTCGTTGTTGTTCTAATAAACATATAGAAAGAGATAGTACTTGAATCAATGATTTTGAAAAAGAGTAAATGAATGTTACAGTCACCTTGTTCCTCAAAGAGAGAAAATAGACATTTTCTTTAAGAAAATTTAAAAATAATAATTTGATACGCAAAAAGAAGTGTATTGTATATGATTAGTATATCATAAGTTCATCTCGATCATTTCAAGAAAAAGCATTTCGGTCATACTTTTCAATATATCTCTATTTAAAATACGATATATGTTTTGATCAACTACCTGAAACGTGATTACAGTCAAGTAAATTCAGTCGTCTGTACCCACTCATATTAATATATCTTATAATTCAATCGCTTTTCTTCTGTATACTGGATTTTTTTTATCAAGGTTACGGTCATAGTGATACCGTATTCATAGCATATATATATATGGAAAAATATATCTTTAATTTTCATAGTATTTCAAGTCGTACTAAACATTTTACCAAATAACGTTATTCATTAACAATGCAAGCCCATACAACGGATGGAACAGGTAGTTCGGATCATATACTTCAATATGGACCAATTCAAGTTCGTCTATATCAAAAAGCAGTACCAACACTAGCAACTGGTCGTCGACCAAAACAACTTGTTCTTGATGGTGATGAAGCAGCTAAACGTGAAAAAAAACGACAAAGAAATCGTGAAGCAGCAAAAAAAATTAAAGAAAAACGAGAAACAATTGAATCCGATCTCGATCGAAAATTACGAGAACTTGAAGCTGAACATTCAAATTTACAAAGTTATCTTAATCAATTACAACAAAAAAAACAAAATTTACAAACAGAAGTCAATAATCTTGATGTTGATCCTTTAGAAGAATTATTATCAAATTATGATACTACTGATCTGTTTTCATCATTTGAACAATATTCACCTGATTTCGAACTTTTTGATGAATCAATACAAAGAATTTTAAATTCTGATTCACTGTTAGATAATTAATTGTTTATTATTTGTAAATTTTAGTTTTTCAATTATAATAAATACGTTTAAAGTAAACAAATATTGTATTACATATAACAACATAGATGAGTAGTAGAATTTTTCTAACCGATATATTAATTCTGTTAATGTTATTAATGTGTATTAAATAATTATGATGAATATACGGTTTATTAGAGAAAGTATATTATATGAGGAGGTTATACAGCTCCTTGACGAATCAAACCTCGTGTTATTTGAGGCTGAAAAAAACATTTTAACAGTGATAATTATTTATGATAAAAAAAAATATTGAAAATATCCTTGATCCTTCAATACCGTGCTATGGCGAACATATAATATAGATAGTGCAAATTTTGATGATAATATTATACAGTGCAAATTGTTTGATTAATCCTCGTACGACATTTGGAGTCCGGCAAGACCCACAACGCTTTTTTTGACTCTTAAAATCTTTAATCAGGACTCATACCAATGTATTTATGTCTGAAAAAGATTATGATACAAACATCGATTCGTCCACGCCCAGCTTAAAACAAACAAAATTTTAAGTTCTCATTATGTAGCGAAATGAGAATAGTCTATGAGGATGAAAGTAAATTACTTTTTCTCATTCTATATGCTTTAAATTTGATACTTAATCAAGAGGAAAATTATGTAAATCTGTTTAATAGTTATTAAATTATAAAGCTACTAATTTCTCAAGATTTTATTTCAGTTTAAAATGAAAATTTTCATATAAAAAGTATATGATATCATATTTACTTTGTTTTGTATCGAATTGAATGTGTCTAATTTTTTTTTAGCTATATCATACCTTTTCTATTTATCTTATCTAGATAATCAGTTACTTAAGTCAATGTAATCTCGTATATTAAAATTATTTTCTTGTTATCGATTTTATGGTCCTTGATTATGACTGTAAAATTAGCCACATTTTGATCAATAGTTTTGCGTCTGTGATTATAGTTTTATTCATACTGAAAAATCATTTCGATCTTAAATAATAATTCGAAGATGTGAAAAAAATTTACACTAGATTAATATTTTTGAAATATTACAAAAACTAACTTTGATAAATGATGTGTTACCTTTATTCATTATATTATTGTATATTAGAAATAAAAACTTTTTTTTTTCAATTAAAATTATACCGTGCGGTCAATTAATATAGAAGAATCGTTATGTTATTAGATTTAATTAAATTATAATCTTATCTTGACCGTTAAAAATAAAATTACATTACAAATTTAGTCTATATACATAAATAAACATTAACAAAAAAAAGTAAAACCACTTCATATAGAATAATTATACAATTTTATGTGATTATCAGCCTCGTATGTTTTTTATTATTATTATGAAAACGTCGGTGTCTCCTTATTTTGTACACAGAATTTACCTCTCAAGGATACGAGCATAGTGACATGGTGAAGGATGCTTATATACGTATACGCGAATATATCTTCGATTTTTATATCTATGACAATCGTTTTAGTAGCGATTAATCATCCTCACAAACAAACCTACTTCATCATATACAATAGATTTATCTAATTTTACCAATGCAAGCGAATCATCACAAACGACCTTCAATAACTAATACCATTGAATATGGTCCAATAAAAATTCGTCAAAATCGAAAGCCAGCTCCAACAATTGCAACTGGTCGTCGACCAAAAAGTCTTGTTCTTGATGGTAATGAAGCAATTAAACGTGAACAAAGACGTGAAAAAAATCGTGAAGTAGCAAGAAAATTAAAAGAAAAACGTAAACTATTTGAGGAACAACTCGATCAACAACTAAAAGACCTTGTAGAAGAAAATTTCAATTTACAAAATTATCTTCAACAACTTGAAAATAAAAAACAAATTTTACAACAAGAAATCAATAATCTTTCTACTGATCCACTCGATGAATTATCATCATATACTACTGAAGATATAGTTTTGTTCTTCGAAGAATATTCCAATGAACCAGATACTCATAATAAATCAGCTATCGAAATAATTCATGATTTAAATTTAAATATTATCTCTAATTCTGTAAAACATAATTAGATGTATCACATAACCTGTTATTTTTATTTTTTTTAAATAATAATATCTTAACTTGATTTATACCTGATGCGAATGATTATTTCAACGCAAAAAAATATTTTTCACTATAATTATGACTTGTTCACATCAAAGACTCGTTTAATTACCTGTACTGCTATCTATCAAATCATCTATATCTTTCTTCGTTCTCCTAATACATCAATCAGATAAGGATTAAATTCAATTAGTTTTTTTTTTCTTTTTGCAACGTTATACATTTACGCATATGTCTCTAATGTGATTTTAAACTGGATGAAAGTAACAGCTGTCAAAATATATTAGTCATGATCGATGTTAAACATAATGCGCAAAAAGAAAAATTAATATTAGTAAATAGTTTTTTTTCTATAGAGATTTTAACAATCAGATGATAGTTTTGTTTGATTTTAAGAGATATGTTTTCATATTAGTTCTTTAATGTTTAACATTAATATTTTTCAAACCAAATATCAATTATATATATATGAAATTTTCGTTATTCTATCATATATATTTATGAAAAAAACATCATCTCGTGATTCAATTGACATTTATCAAACCGAAATCAACTGCCTGGTATGTAGATGGCAAACTGAAGGCGTATAACAGTCAGGTGGATATGACATTTATTATTTTAATATATATATAAGTTTGTCTGTTGATGAAGTGATAAATATAAATTTAAACATCAAAGATACCTTACAGGAACCTTGTAAGGTCAAATACAAAGCATGTCAAATAATTTATTGGTGACTAATAGAAGATTTATAATGTCATAGATAACTTGTATAGATTCAACTTTATTAATATCTAATGTTGTTATCGCAATAATAAAATATTATCATTAATCGATGATAAAAATTAATAATTCGATCTCTTTTTTAACTTAAATACTCGTAAATTCAATGTAGTATTGTATAATTGAGAATAATGTAAACTTAATAATTGATTAATAGCTTTTACAAAAAAAAAGTAATGAGAAGAAATTAAATCAACGTTTATCGAATGATAAATTTTAATATTTCAACTGACTTCTTTTGAAAACAATGATTGCGTGTGGAAAAGATATTTAGTCGAAGTTAGTGAATCCGCATATAAAATGAAAGTTCATAAGCATTAGATAAGAAATGTTATAAACAATTATCTTTTTAATGTATTAAATATTTTTAACCAAAAACTATTTTTAGTAGTAAAAAACCCATACATATAATGAATAGTTGATTTATAATAATATTTAATTTTACAAGAATCGAATACAAAATCTTTTATCACATGCATTACGATAGTATAGTGTAATAAATATAGAATCTGGCAAATTTCGAACAAAAACAATCTTGTATTCGTTGTAGTATAAGATAGTATTGCTGTAATTTAGAAATAAAATTTCATTTTGAACGTAATGAACGTCCTTCAAGGAATTCGTTATTACTTATTGTGAGGATGAGAGCCAAAAGAAGATATTCACACCCACGCGTTCTGACACGAAATAAATGCCATATTGAGAAACAACATAAAATAAATTAAGTCGATTTACGTATGCTTGAAATTGTTTTTATGAATTTTTTCTTTCTTTGAGGAACACGTCAAAAATTAGAACTAAGCAAAATAATTATTTCATTATTTAGTTACATGTCTATTGGTGATAGTTAGTAAAATGATGCACGAGAAAAGTGTATAGAAGTAAAATTATTTATCATTGAATATAGAGAGCAATGCAATGAAGTATGAAATATTTTAACTAGAGAGACAAAGAAGAATAATGTATATAGGATAAAAAACAGTGAAACAATAAATCATTGACATACAAACAAAAACAAAAAGTAGGAAAGGAATATAGATGATAACTATTCTTGTCACCCCCATGTCTGATTGATTAATATAGCATTTTCATAGATAAGACATTAAGCTTCTACATTCTAATAAAAGTGAAACTGATTGTTGTTTTTTTTCTTAATATTGAATAGGTTTTGAATGCACAATTAAATAAGAGTTCAAAAACATAGTTTCTTTAAAGATATTCTGAGGCAAAAGTTAACATAATGTTGTTTCTTGCTATCCTTCTCCAACCATTTAACAATAAATCTATATTCTAGACAGTGCTGCCACCTTTTGAAGTCTAAAAAGCAGAAAAAAGTTTATAAAAAGCAGAAAATGACAGAAATTTCGCCATCAAAAAGCAGAAGAAAAAGCAGAAAAGATATTTCTTACGTAAATATACTACGAAGCTTACATGGAACATAATAATTAAAAATTGCGGATAAACTGAGTTTCGTACCACCCTCCCTGAACATCTGGCAATATGTCCGACTGTTCGTTAAGGAAATCGGTTTTTAACGGTTTCGTGCAAGTATTCGAGAGTAACGAATGTCTGAAAATTTTTGATTTCTTGTATGACTAGTGTTCTGAAACTTTTTTCTATAGAAGATCGTAAAAGAAGAAGCAATAGGTATTTAACAGACTAATTAGATGTTCAAGAAAGACAGAATTTCTACAGTGCACCTGATTTAACCTTACAGAGCATAACGATCAAGCTTGTATTTAGCATAAAGATATAAACTGACGTTGACACACAGCTCATGAATGAATTTAACAGGAGATCGTTACGAACTTAATAATTTTTCATAAGTTTTCTTATCAATAAGGATAATTATTGAATATTTTCGATATTAGTTACTATCTACCGCGTGTATTTTGACCTGAAGATGCTGCCTTTTCAGTTGAATCTCGATCGCCATTCCTAGTTTCATAATGTGTTATTTTTGACTATTTTTCGTTTTCGCGGAGTTCGTAACGAGCACTTGGTACAGAAATTCGGAATAACGAAGTGATACGAAACGTATTTTCCCCAAAATTGCGTACTATATCCTAATTTCAATCAAACAAATAAAGAAAAAGAATGGATTAACAAATATGTGTAATTATTGAACTTACGTATACAGTAATAAGAGAAACAGCCAGCCACTAGTAAACACAAGACAGACAATTCAAGTTGAAATAGGATAACATAGTAATATGAGTGATTATTGATAAAACTTTGTTTTTAGAATTCGAAAAATGATTATTCAGATGAGAATTACCGATTACAAGTATGAGTGACCTAATATTTAAAAAAGCAGAAAAGTCTTTAAAAAGCAGAAAGGACAGAAAAAAAACAGAAAAATCTTCAAAAAGCAGAATTTTTCTGCTAAAAGCAGAAGAGGTGGCAGCACTGATTCTAGAACAAAATTAAATATGAAAATTGATTTCGTTTCATTTAAAGAATATAAATTATTCAATTTGAAATTAACTGTCAATGAGAATATGAATAAATATAAAATTAATATTTTATTATAAAGACAAAATAGATTGAAGATATACGCAAGATATTCAAATTACGACGATCCTTCCAGCAAGAATTAAATAAAGTCCCAAGAATTTTTATACAAAATATTATTTAAAAAGAATTAAATAATATTTCAACCCAAAGAAAGTTTGATAAAACAGAACAGCAGATAATTGTAATGAATGCATAAAACCATCTAAAAAACTATATGTAAGATGCAATCATTAGGGCTTAATTTTACTTCGTATACAATCTACAAAGTAATTTTAAAATAAAAAAATACTCGATAAGAACCAACATATGTGCAATAACAATGTCAACAAAAATTTTTTCAATGCCCAAAGATCATTTTAAATATATCTGTGAAAGTTAAAAAACTTTTTATGAGGTTCAACTGACGTGGATGATGTTTAACATCTGACATTGATTGATAAATACAATAAAGAAAAAACAACATAAGAATGTGTAATACTGATCCATGAAAATACAGTTGTAAATTCTAATATTAGATTTTTTATTAGAATGAAGTAAAAAGGAAGCCAATTAAAAAAGTATCAGAGATATTGCAAAATATTCCATTTTTATAAATAAACTTTTAAGTGTTTGATTGTATTTCGATAAAACCTAGAAATTAATTTGAACTCGCAAAAATGAAAATATTTTTGAATTTTAGTTTGTTATAGTATACTATATTTTCTTTCTAAACAAAGCGCGCCTTATGAAAATTGTTTACGGCAATAAATCCAGGAGTTTAATATTGGAATAGTGAAGAACAAATGAAAGTAATATGAAGAGATTATCATCAGAAAACTGTGTTAGGCGAGGATATTATAATCGAATGATACAATGACAACGGCATCTCGTCAAATTTTCGTCTATTATAGTTATATTATGTCTCACATTTATAGATTTATCTACTTTCAGTATTTCGTAAATTTTGTTTTCGATACAAAAAATTACAGTCAAGAGGATATGCACAGTTAAATATATAACAAAAGTATAGAAATCAAACTGAAAACAGAACAATTTAACAAAAAAAATTTCTTTTTATTACAATTTTCAACCTACATTTTGATAGATTTCGTATTGCGCTATCTTTATTTTTCTTTGATCATTACATAATTGATTTTATTCTCGACGATAAGAACAGAAGACGCAATAGAATAAATATTTTTTTCAAATCTCATCTCATCTAAGATTTGTTAAAATAGTTTCGATCAATGTTCGGTTTTCAAAGAAGTTATATGAATGAATAGTATCTTTAAAAAACTTGATCTAAACATAAACGACCATGTTGTTTTACTTTTTATTGATTATATTTCAGAGTAAATTAAACGTTATTGAAAATATTTCAATATTCTTTGTGTACACTTTCATAATTTTCTTTTAACTCAAGAGGGGTTGTTGAAAAAATAATTTCAAATGAAAAATTTGTTAGTAAAACTCATTTTAATAAATAATCTTTAGCTCTTTTTTCAATGAGTATTTTAAATCGTATATATATAGATGTATAGATAGTTTGTTTCGAGTTATTTTTCTTATACTAACTGTCTCTTCTCGAAAATGATGTTTTCTAACAGTGTTATATTTAATATATTTACAAAGAGGACAATCAAGTTCAGAAAGCTCTTTTACTAAAAAAACATTAGTTTAAGCATCGAACTACTTAAAAAACTACTTTCCGAGCTCAGACAAAAAAATCTCGATTTTCAAGATTTTGATCTGACATTCCTATTACCTACCGACACATTTATTATATGAACTTTCACTTTATGATCATTGAAACTTTATCGATGACATGTACGCAAAGTTTTATGCATATAACAGTTCCAAAGAATATTTATCCTTTTAAATAAAACTCTATGGAACTATAAATACAAACTGGTATCAATATTGAAACTGATTTCTATGACCTTGATGTAAATACATACAAAAACACAGAATTAAGTGCGTATAATTTCTATATACGTTTTTTATGGGGAAAATATGTATAAATGAGAGCCAGTCACCTCTCGAACGATGTAAATAGAAAGAAGAGGTAAAAAAAACATATAAATGAGTACTAGTCATCTCTCGAACGATATACCTAGAAAGAAAAGGTAAAAAAATATATAAATAAGTATTAGTCACCTTTCGAACAATGGACATAGAAAGAAAAGAACAAAAAAATCAGAGATAAAAGGAAGGAGAAAAAGAGTGAAAATAAAAGTTTAATTCCTTCAATTTCATAATTAAGACATTTTTCTTTTATTATGCATCTCATTTATTACTTACAGATTACCATATGTTTTGTTATTCTCTAACTAACACTTCACCGAGAATATCTATATGACAGTTAATATTCTGTCTTTGTTCTTATTGGTTTCAAATTTTTCGTTCATTACATTTACATCTGAATTTTTGTCTTATGCTATCCTATTTTTATTAACCACATGTTTTATTAGCTAATAATTAATTAAGTTAGACGTATTATAGTTCAATACTAGTTCAGGAACAGCAGCGGCATAGGCAAAGAAGGGACAAATTGTCATTTATCGATTTCATTTAGAGATTTACCTATTAAAATTTACTTTTGAATTACAAATGTACTTGTGCTTATTCTTTCTGAAAATACTTAAGAAACGACAATGTAAAGTAATGCTTGCAGTATTTTAAACGGGAGTTGCCAGATGAAATGAAAAAATCATATGTTCAAAATGAGACGATTATTCAAAGAAAATAAATAACGATAAATTTTCATCCTGAAGAAGACGTGATAAAACTAGAGAGAATCTCTTTCTCTCAGAGAAGAGTCTTACAAACATAAATTGTCTGACTGGTTCAAAATGGGTGAGTGTGGGCGTGATTGTTCACTCTATCTACTTCACCCACACCAACACCCTTCATAAAACACATACGATATGATTGCTCATACAAGAGGAAATACTTTAGTAGAATAATAGATATCTATCTGGCAGATACATCATGTTTACGTTTGAAAGCGTTTCTTGTTATTTTATTTTTTTAACAAAGTATGCACAAAATAGTAAATCTATTCTTTATTTTTCAAATTGTACTCAATGATGTAAAGTTCATTTTAAACATACGGATAAAGATGGAAGTAGTATGAATACTGTTTCATCCAAACATACCGTTCAGTGATCTACTTTTTAATGTAAAAAAACAGTATAAAATGACATTGATTTATTTTTCTTTCTATTCGACCTTTTACCTTTAGAAAAATGAGAATATATTTTTGACATTATATTTTTCTTCTAGGGTATCGTATTTGCATAAAAAAAACCTTTTTTTGTCTTCTACAGTAGTCATTACTTGTCCTAGATTCAAAAATGAGTTCAGATTATAGTGAACAAAAATAAATTTCAGCGGATACCAATGATTTAAATATTAAAATATTAGTACCAGCTATTGATGCAATTATTCATAATATTGAATAAATCTGATATTATTCGACAAATTGAACAAGCATTAGTTAAATAGTAGGTTATATTTTTTCGTCAACAATGTTTAACTCGAGAACAACATCGTAATTTTACTCAACTATCTGGTAATTTACATACACATTCATATTATTCTCATGTTTCCAGTACACCTAAATTGATGCTTCTTGAATATGATTCTCATAGAAAGTCAGGCAATGATAGTTGGCATACAGATACAACATTCACAGAAAGACCAGTACTTGGTTGTATTTTATATGGACATATGTCAATATGTACTGACATTGGCTGAATAAAGATAAAACACAAACGTGATCGTTGTTGATTTATTTTAAATAAGAAAATATTTATACTAATATATCTCACCAAAATCGAATAAATTGTTTTCTTTATATTTTAACTTATCTGACTGTCAATTTCGATGATAATTGTAACTGAAAAACCATTCGTTCTACATATTGCAAGGATAAGACAAATATTTGTCATATATCTAATCAGTAAATCACTTTTATCGTTGTGTTATTCAAGGATGTCGAATACATGAGACAGAAAAGTAAGCTTCTTTTTTTTCGTATCTTTTATATACACGCGAGAAGGATTTCTTCGCATGAATGATACTGTACAGTAACAAGTGACCTGAAAAGCAATTGCATCTGTCTTAATTTTTACCTATTTCTGAATAATAAATATCTGTAGCGTTTTATTCACATAAACATCATTGCAAATCTTTAACAATATGGTCTAATTTTCATTGTGAATCAATAAAATAAATAAATCTTTAATATGTTATTTTAATCTTTGATTAAAACTTTATTATAACTAAATATAAAAATAAACTGTCACATCTTAATAAAATATGATAAGTTTATGTCGACCTCTAGATTCATATTTAACTATGAATAACAAGCAATCACACAGTTACAAGGAAATATTTAGAAAAAAAAACACTTTTTGGGACCCCTCTTTTCCTCTCTCCGTCAATTAAATGTATGTCCTTCGTGTATATAATGTGATACTATCTGTAGTCGAGGGCGTAATAACCATATAAGTCAATTTCTAATATGTATTTTCGTTATTTCACGCATCAATAATATAGCCATATTAATACTATAAGGTATTGGTATATACATATGTATGTCTTTAACTTTCATATTATTTTTTTCTAATAATGAAATTTCTTCATACATAGTTGTCGATTTTCATCAATGAAATCGGAAGATAATGAAGTATTACCATCAGATAATGTAATTCAGTATGGTCCACTAAAAATTCGTCGCTGTCGAAAGCCAGCACCAACAATCGCAACTGGTCGTCGTTCAAAATTTCTTATACTTTTTGGTGATGAAGAGATTAAACGTGAACAAAGACGTGCAAAAAATCGTGAAGCAGCAAGAAAATTAAAAGAAAAACGACAACTCATTGAAGAACAACTCGATGAAAAACTAAGACAACTTCAATGTGAACATTTAGTTTTACAAGAATATCTGCAGCGATTAGAACAAAAAAAACAAAATTTAGAACAAAAAATTGATAGTGTTTCTACTGATCCTCTTATTGAATTATTATCAACGAATAATCAAAATATGCTTCTATTTTTTGAAGAATGTACAGATGATTTAGATTTTTTTGGTGAATCATTGGATAAGATTTTTGATTCTGAATTGTAAATAAACTTATGATTACGTCAAAACATAAATCATGACTGATTTTTGTTTTATGTAAATAGAATAGTTTCTATCTATTATTTATTTATTTCCATAGTTAAATTAAATCATGGTCATTGATTCGAATTATTATCTTCTAACGTATTACATACCAAAGAATGTAGATGATGACTGTAATTCATAGTACTTGACTATGAAAAACATTCAGTCTACACCTATTTGTTTTTTCCTTCGGTAATGGAGGTAGATTGTATATAGATAAAAATTATAAAAATATATATTTTATAAGAGAAAAGCAAGAAAAAAAAATATTATGAGGTATATTTTAAAAGATTTTTATGCACGTGATGTATAAATAAAAATAATTAAATAACGAAAATATTTGATTCTGTTTATCTCTTTAAATTATATATAGTACATTGTTATGGTAAATGAAAACTGAGAAATACGACGTTATAAGAAAAATTTCACACTTTTCATGTACTATTTCAAAATGTATTACATTTATGTTGATAACAGAAAAATATTAGTGCATCAGTTATAATAATTAATTCATTATACTAGTGAAAGATATTTTGTTGTTTCATGACTATCGAAGTATATTCAGTACTTTGAGTAAGATGAAGAATATAAGAATATGGCTAGTATTTATTTGAGCAATAACAATATCTAAATGAGCAATATTTAAAATACGAATTAGTAATAATCTTCGAGCAATAGAAAAATCCGATTCGAGCAGTTTTAAATTATGAAATGTGTAATAATTATACCATTAAACAGCAATATTAATTTCATGTTTTAGCAATGAGAAAAAGAAAATTCCAGTTTTTATTTCTGCGATTGATCATAAGAAAAAGGCAAATGAGTAATTAGTGTACTATTGTAGCAATAAAGCTGTTTTTGCGTTAGATGGTCTGTCTCTTTTTCTTTTTGTGCCGATTTGGGGATAAGGTGGTGTGGGTGGATTAAGAATAGAGATATCCTCACCCATACCCTCACTTATTATTAATTTAAATACATTATTGCTCATTTAAATATAAGTCTAATAATATTATATAGTGGATACATTTACTGGATATTGCAGAATCATATTCTTATCGAAATATATCTAAGCAAGAATTTATTATTTATTGTATATACAATATTGATAATTTTCAACTAGTTGATCTGAACTATGAGAGTACTTTGCTTGTCAATATGATTTATTATATACGGAGAGAAAATGGTTACGTCTATCCAATGAAAAATTGTTTTTTATATAATAAATACTTCAACATACTGATTGCATCATTGTCAAGAGACAAGTTTGTACTTTTGAGGGGACTAATTCAATAGAGCGCATCAAATAATTAATTGTATTTTATATCTCGAAAAAAGAAAGATTTTTGTTAGTGGCAGATCTAGGATTTTGGAAGGGAGAGGCGATACCTGAGTAGGAGGAGGGAACGATTTCGGCTAAAAACTATTTTTGAGTTCAATCGAAATAGTATGAACCTATTTTTCGTTCATTTTTGCTGAAAAAAATCAAAAAAATTTTTCTGAAGGAGGAGAGATCATCCCCGTTGCTCCCCCTAAATCCGCTACTGATTCTTGATAAAAGATACTGATACTGTATTACATACAGTCGACTATTCTAGAAATATATAAAAAAAATGGTTCTATCTGAAGGTTATTAATTTATAAAAAAAAAGATTTAGAAATGGAATAATATATCATTCGATAAAGAATTTAATACTGCAGGAAAACTCAAGTATCATTAAATATCATTTTTCCGTAAGATATTTATCTAATTTTTATTTCAATAACGAAAGAATAGTAGAGAAAAGAAGGATGACATATTGTTGAATCATATTCCAATAGTAACTAATAATATTTCATTGATTATTTCTGTCCAACACTTAACTGATACTCATCATAACTTCGAATAATTTTCTTAACTAATTTTTTAATATCTTATTAGAAAAACTGTACAAAATCATATCTGAAATTAAACAAATATCCATATCAATCAAAATAAAACTCCAATTTTATATATTGCATTCTTGATAATCTTTAACCATCAACTGTTTTCTGATCAATTTAAAACATTTTTGCACGTTTTTATATTATCATAGATAGTTATTATCGACATAAGATAAATATTTGTATTATTTCGAACGCCTAAAGCACGTTGTGAATTAAAATTTTTTTTGAATCAAATCTAAGAATCATTTAGAAACATGCGAATGTCTATTTTTTTTATCTAAGTATGTTCATAAATAGTGGACTAATCAACTGTGTATGATAACTAAAACTAAGTTTTACTCATTTATAGAATTCGTTACATAGACAAATATTAATACGTATATCGTATCGAGTTTTGGCTATGTTTGAAAATATTTTAGGGATATATCCGGATACCAGATATCGAGTACTATGCATATACATATACATCGATTTTATTTGAAAGACTTTTGAATCTAAAATATAATAAGAAAAAAAAATGATGTCGCTATTGTAGAATCCTTTCACGAACATTAAATTCTAAAGTATCCAGACAAATTTTTCATTTTATTAGACTTAGTCGAGTTTTCCTTGCTGATTGTCTTAGGAAAAAAAAGCATTTTGAATTTCATTGAGAAACGATAGTATGAGAGTCAATGTATTAAATATTTTAATATATTTGCAATATATTTTATTTTGCGAATATTTCTGTATGAATAAATGATAAAATCTTGATTTTTCTTTCAAAAGATGCATCATCAGAAGTTGTACAAAAATCGTACGAATGCAATTCTATTGACTTCTTTCATACTATTTTCCAGTGTACTTAGCATAATAAAAATAGTCGAACTGCTTTTATATTTTGAATGTGTCTCGGCTTTAGAAAAAGATAGCATTTTGATATTTTTGTCAAACGAAGTGCCATCGATAGGTCTGTAGATACCGTATAAATAATTTCGTGTTGTACAAAAAAAACCTTTCAAATATTTTTATTATCATTTTGTGGTTTTCTTCTTATTGTATGTCATATTCACAGTATTCGATCTTTGCTACTCAACTATATAATTGTATTAAATTGATATTGTAAAGTTTTAATATATGACTAAAAAAACAGGTGAGACCAGAATTTTAACATACATGGTACTTCGTATTGAAAGTAAACTTTTTCCTAATAAATACAGATATTATTAGGAAAAAACTGAAGACACATATACAATCACAATAATCGAATGATATTCTTTTACATAGGAAAGTTATCCCAATTCTCGAATAAATAAATGATAATTTGTACACTCAAAAAGAAATAGTTTCTCGCATAATAATTATCATTACTTTAATGTAACTTCCGATAATGAAATATTCTTTAGATAGAAATCATTTTTCTTTTGACCTTACAAAGAATATCTGATCGACACAGATTTGTTTTTGAGCTGAAAAATAATCAATCTGAAATTATTTATGCATTTCAATTATCATTTAATCCAATTGAAACTAATATTATTTGTTATTAGTAATAAATTTTCATACATGAATTATATTAGCGAGTATCTAAAACAAATTCATGAAAATTTATTTCGTTTATTTGTATTTTGGTTGGAAATGATCGTTTAAGATCGAAAATTTTCGTATTCTCTTTCTCGTAAAGAAGAGTCCTGCAAGAATAAATTATTTGCTTGCTTGTGTGTCTACACTTCATTGATTAGTGCAAAAATAATCTGAATGGGGAAGTATTATTTTCCATAAAATCTGACCAAAGATAATCGAAAATGAAGAGTTCGATTCTGACGTCAGTTTTTTTAGACAAAGGATGAGATTTTTATGAAAATTTTTTTTCTATAAAGTTTGACCAACACTAATCAAGGTCGAGGAACTCAAATCTGAAGTTGGTTTTTTTAAATTGTTTGAATAAATAGTTTAGGCTACCATTTAAGTGATCAGTAGATGAGAAATTCGAAAAATTAGTAAAGTTAATGAGTAGGTCAATAAAGTAACGAAATGATTAGTTAGAAATGATATCGGTTTGTAACTAAATAAAAAGATCAGTAGTAGTTAAAATTTATAACCAGTAAATTAAGTGAAAAACACAGTATAAAAATAAAAATGTGCCATAGTAACATTCATTTCTATTTTTTTTTTCTTTTCTACTATGTCAATGTATGACAGGTGATATTTATTTTTCTCCTTCGTTTTGCGACTTTGACATGTGTCAAAAGTATATATGTTTATTTTCTATTTGGAATTTTTCTCGATTCATGTAACAATCGTATTTTCCATAGATTGATTTTTTCATAACGCAATCGTAAATTATCACATCCGGGTGCTATTTAATACCTATATAAACTCGTGAACATTTAGGATAAATGATCATCATCAAATGAACTAGTAGTAGAAGTCACTCAATACGACGACGATACATCGGATCAAGAAATTATTGAAACACAATGCAAAAATGAAATCAAAGAAGTTCATAAAAAAAAGAAGACCAAATTTGATAGTTCTAGTTGGCGAAAAGAGAAAACCTGGTCGACCAGCAAAAGCTAAATCAGCTCTATTGATGCAATAATTTAATATTTGTTCTCTTTATCAGTACTAATTCATAAATTTCGTACTTAATAATCATTTCTGTGGTTTTTTTACAAAAGTATACTTTGCAATGACAAAAAAAGTATTTTCTACTGTCATTTATACATATTATACTGAACATATCTATACTCTTTTACTGATTATTTAATTTATTTTACTAACTAGCTAATAAATCCCGAATAGTTTACTGGTCGTGAAGAAACACCGTTTCTATGAGAAAGAGCTGCGCAAGTCTCTAAACGAGAGCGTTACTTATTGATATAAAAACAGTCTAAAATCTCGCAAATTCTACATTTCATTTATTTATTATATATTGAATAAAAGCACGTTTAACTTATTTTTTTATACATAAAGACAAAAACTAATATATATCTTTTCAGAAGAAATTATTTTTTCTTTACTTAAACTGACATATGGCGGGACAGCAAATTACATGTATAATTTGATGTAGAATGAAGAATTTCTTATGCACGTGTTAACTATGTATTAAATCATTATAATCATAAGATTCTATGGGTCATATTGATAAGTTTTTAAGTAAATAATTAATGATATTTTATTCTTATGACATCTTATGTCACGAAAGAGATTTATCGATGAATCGACACACCCTGTCATGCTTATAATTATCATAAATTTCTATCTATTTTCTATTAGAATATATTTCTTTATCGTTTAGTTTATCATAACCTTCTATTTTCTCCAATCGGTAGTACTTGAAATGAAAGTTCGATATAGTTTATTCAAATCTTTATTATTCTTAACAAATTTAATTGGTTTAAAACAGACTCGAACTTGTTATAAATAATCTTTTAAACTTCACTTATAATAACAATAGGATTTCCTCATCTTTCATATAATTATATTTGATACTCGAAAAAACTTTTAAAATCAAATAACTATTATAAGTATCGAATAAAAATGAAATTAACATTATTTAGTTTTAATACGATCAAATAAAATAAAAACATCATCCGACACTTTTCATGTATACTATAATAACTTTTTTTCTTTCCTCTTACTTTATACGATATAACGATTAATTTTAATGAGAGGTTCGCAACTGAAGGTTTATTCTTTATTTACATGGATGACATATCTATTTTATAATTGAATTATTTTTCAACATACTGCAAACACAGATAGAACTTACCGCATCTAACGGTTTATTGATTTTTAAAGTATTTAACTATATACTATCTCAATCGTTTTAGAAAGTTTTTATATTTTATAATAAAATATGCATTAATCGTAATTTAATTATGTCAACGAACGATTTTATTTAGATGCAAAAGATACATGTAATTATAAAAAATAATCAAATATGTAAAAGAAAACATAAATAGTCTTTTTGACATGAGTTAATACAAATATTAGAAGAACATAAAACGACTTTTCTTGCTACCACAGACTTTAAATCAAACATACGAATAGATATAATGCGAATCTAATCTATTTGAAACTAAAAGAAAAAAAAATTCTGTTCAATTACATACTGTATATGATGAAATCAAACTGTTGATATTCATTATAAATAAATATATATCACATATGAATGTTTACTTTCATAAATAGTCCTTCGAATAGGTCTAAATTGACATAAATGAAAAAAAAATACTCGATATTTTTGTGATTAATAATTATCATAAGTTTATCTTGACCGTTAAAGATTTTTGAGTGTAAAAAATAAATATATATCATACTTTCAACGTGCCCTCATTAGAAAAAAACCATTAAAATATCAACCAGCTAAGGTAAATTAACTATTTACTCGTCATATATATATATGTAATCTCTATCATCAGTTATCGCGTGAGGCTTGAAAAAATAAAGTTTCGATTTCTAATCTTTTATTTTGGTATGTTACGCATCAAGGATATCTTCGATTGACGTCATAAGACGGTAATATATATATGCCTCAGTCTATCCTTAACTTTCATATTATTTTTAAAATTATTAACCATGTGTACAAATAACTCTACACCTTCATATACAACACAATATTCCACTTCATCAATGGATTCAAATTCAAATGATAGTGAAGGATGTTCATTGGATAATACAATTGAATATGGTCCAATTAAAATTCGTCAAATTCGAAAACCAGCTCCAACAATTGCAACTGGTCGTCGACCAAAAAGTCTTGTTCTTACTGGTGATGAAGCTATTAAACGTGAACAAAGACGTGAAAAAAATCGTGAAGCAGCAAGGAAATTAAAAGAACGACGAAAATTAATTGAAAAAGAACTTGATCAACAATTAAGGGATCTCGAAGGTGAACATTCAAGTTTACAAAATTGTCTTCAACAACTTCGAGACAGAAAACAAACTTTACAAACTGCAGTTAACAATTGTTTTCGTGATCCCATTGACGATTTATTATCGAGTAATAGTCCGGAAATGCTTCTATTCTTCGAGCAATATTTAGACGATCCAGATCTATTTGATGAATCAATAGAAAGCATTTTAAATTTTTAGTAAAATGTTAGTTTCAATATTGTTAAACATAACTAGTTTGTAACTGTGTAAATGTAATTTTATTTTCTCGATAATAATGTTATTATTTAAAATATAAATAAAAATATGTGTCTCTATAGAGCACTGTTAATTGAATTTATTATACTCTATATAAAATAACGATCTAAGATGCCTGTAGAGTTCAAAATAAAAGTGTGAGTCTAGGTCATAATGATCCGTAAAGGATTGATGAGTTTATTTGATGAAACGAATGTATTTTTGGTTTTTTCTCTCTTTCTGTTCTCATCATTATTTGGTTAAAAGATAATTTAATTTATAGAGAGTAAGCAAAATAATATCATATAACTACCTAGGAGTCGTTACTATGTTAATATGTTTATATGAAGATAAGAACTGTCAAAATATATTATACACTACACATCACTGAAGTAATATGACAGAGGCGAAAGAAAAATATTTATATTAAAAAGCATGTATTGATAACAATCAACATTTTCGATTTAGTATTTAGTCATGTATAATGTTTAGCCATTAAATTTGAATTAAAATATCTAATTGAATTTTATAGATTTACTTATTTCAGAAGAATATTTTCGATATATATTCATTGATAATATAAAATATAATGATTATCAGACAAAAAATTCTATGAAAATGAAGATTTTATTATATTTACATCTAGATAAGCGAAACGAAACTGTTTTTGAAAATATTTTCATCTAACATAATATTGTTTTATGTAATAAAAGAAAATAAGTATATAATACATGCGTATTTTTTTCAATTAATAATAATAAATACGATCACAGTTGATTTATATTTATTTCCATTTCGAAAAATCTATTATGTATAATATTGAATATTGTTTGTCAATTATAACGACATATATGTAATAGTATTAAAAATTTTCTCTCCAATGTTTCGAATGAATTGCAATCAGACTATTCATGAAGAAACATCGCTAGGAAGATAGAAGTGTGCATTTTATTAATTTAAACTCAACTTAAATCTGAAAGAATCAATACTAAATGAATTATTTTTAATCGAACTTTATATATTTAAATCATAAAATATCGAAGCATATGCATTGTGTTTAATACAATAAGTCGACATTAATAAATACTTGAAGAGGCATTCTCTTTCTCGTAGAGAAGAGTACAATAAATATAATTTTTCTGATTTCTTACTTGCTTGATTGTGTGTCTGCAGGGTCAAAAAATCATTGAACATCGATTTTCCTGAAAAACACATTTCTAGAAGTATTTCGATGCAGGGACTTCCAATCTGATGTTAATTTTTGAAAATTTGTTTTACACAAAGGACCCTCTCTTTATAAAGATTGACCGAACGGTTATCATGATCGTAGAATCTAAATCTGAAGTCAGTTTTTGAAATTGTTCGGATAAGCAATTTACTCGGAGCGAGTCTCCAGACGAGTGTTACTTGTATCTTAACATAACTCAAATTCAATTTTCGACTTCATCGCAATTGCATAATTGAAGATAGATGCTATATTCAACCGACGTATCAATAGTATGAGGAAATTGATCTATCAAAAAGCCTGTATATTGATACATTTTTTATGACATTCGTTTCTTAATCAATAAAAATCATCTTAATGGATTTGTATAAAAAACTTATTTTATAAAAAAGAAAATTTTTATATTAGTACGAATGTAAGTAATTAGATTAATTGTCATTATAAAACATAACTGACTATCAGGACCAAGACGAAAATTGTCAGCTAATTCCTCAATATTTTTATCAAGTATGAGACCAGAAATTTTCTTATTTCTTTTTTTTCTTTAATTAAAAATTGATAAATGTGTTATTTTATAGTTCAAGAAAAATCGTATAGACTGAATTTACAATCAAAAAAGTGAGAATTTTCGTGAACTTCATATTTTTTTTGTATAGTTGGAGACAACACCAGAATTACTCTTAAGCTTTTATCAAGACCGGGACCGGGACCGGGACCAAAAAAAGTGATTTTGCAGTTCCCTAATCAGGACTGCAAATCTGTTTTTGCCATGCTATTCTATAGTATGTAAAAAAAAGCTATTTCAATAATTAGTAGTATCATTTTACTAAATTAATACTGCTCCGATTAATCTAAATGATTTATTTAATATGTTAATTAAATACTTGCTATCGATATCTTTATAGTAAAGTTTCTGAAATCATTATTTATTCGGAAATATGATTTCTATAAAAGCGTGGCAAACTATTGATGCTTACATTAATCACTTAAAATCATGTAGAATTATAGATTTGTTAATTAGGATAAGAAATGTCTGAAAATAGTCATCAACGAAAATTTATGATATATCATGATTATCGCCGTTCATGTCAACAACAGAATTCTATTTCCATCATAACACATGACACGAAAATATTCAAATATAGCCCTTTGAAAATTGCAAACACACATATATGATATGATTTCAACCCAATCAACGAAGATACACAGTATCTAATTCTTGTATATACTTTATCCCATCTATTTATATATTAACGTGCTTATCTGCTGAAGATTCAATGATAATTTTAAGTAAAAGAATAATTTTAAAGACACATGTTAAACAAATGTGTGCCATATATATTTCTGGTATAATTTTTATATAACTTTAAAGTATTATAAAAACCAAACAATCAGATGTTTAAATTAGTAATAAAAACTTAGTTCTAGCAAAAAAAAAAAAAGAACGGTAGAAATTGCTTTAAAATTTCTTTTCTTTTGTTGTACGTTCTTCTTCATCTTGAATATAAGCAAGATTATGAACTGTTGAATCAATTTTAGCGGGTTCTTGATGTTTTTCATCACCTTCAGGAATCTTATCGGCATCATCTTTTGTTACTGTACCACGATTATTTAATGTTGTATTTGTAATTGAACAAACTTTTTCTTCAACTTTTGTTTCACCACTTGCTAATTTTTCCCAATATTTACGTGTTTCATTTATAACACGTTGAGCATAATCACGATCAGCATATTGTTCATTAAGTGCAAATTTATTTGGTGGTTTACCTGTTGGAACTTTATAATATTTAAACCAACGTCGTGTAGCTTCAAGTAAACCTGGAAGATATTTATCAACATCATTAATATCATTAATCTACAAGAATTAAATTAATTTCTATTTTAAATAATAAAAAAACACTTTATTACTTGTGATGCAAGTTTATCACGAATATCAATACCAATTAATTTCCAATCAGTTTCACCTTCATCAATTAAACCAAGTACACCAACAATTTTGACAGGTACAATTGAACCAGTTGCATGAAGATTTGTACCAATTTCACATACATCTAATGGATCATTATCACCTGTTGTTTTTGTATCTTCATCAACATGATTTGGATCTTCCCATGTTTGGGGTAATGCTCCATAATTCCATAAATAACCATGATAAGGAAATACATTATGAACAAAACGTGGTTTACCTTAAATCAAAAAATATGTATATTAATTTTTTATATTAGAAAATAAACGAACCACTCTTAATATCTTGAACAATTGGATTTAATTTTAATTGTTTATTGATTTCCATTTTAGCATTTGTCCATCGTGGTACTTCAACAACCATATTATAAATAATATCTTTTTGATTTCCAGTTGATGATGTATATTGTTCGTTAACAAGTGGAATATCATGAAAGGGTGAAACAAGTGCTTTTGTTTGAGTATCACGGAAATAACAACGATAATTAAGTGTATGTAATTGACCACGTTGAACTACTTCATAACGAGGATTTGCATTGTCATTTGCTTGTGGTGCAATACTTGTTAATGGTGTACCTTGTTCGCCTGTATTTGGATCGGGTAATTTTGGTGCTGTTGACATTGTAGATAGTTTTTCTTTTCAATGAAGAAGAACGGTAAACTGACTTCTAAAATAGATTAGAATAAAGAAAACAAAATCATTGAGGCAAATATATTGGATTTCTAAAGCATAGCAAAGAAAGACGCATGAATGAGAAAGAAATCGATTGTGCGATATAGATTAATACTGTTCCAGGTCAATGCACACACCGTATTTTTATGTGGTTGTCTCCTTTACAAATAATGATTGGATTATAATATTCTTTTCAGACGAAAGAATGTTCACTACATAAAACCTTTTATACATAATTTAATCCTGCTGCGTAATCAAACTTTCACAACGAAGTGATTGTTCATTGAATAACAAAATCATAATTATTCATCGAAAATTGTATTTAAGCCTGTACACGTAGTTCTTCAGCGTCATTCGA